CAAGCTCCGGCGAAGCTCCGGCGGCCCTATTTGCCGGACGGGAAAGAGAGAAAAAGAGGAAGAAAGAGAGAGAAATAGAGAGAGAAAGGGGCCGGACAAGGGTGAGGCTAAGGCTGGGGGCTGAGGTGGTCGGCGGCGAGGCACGGTGGCCGACGGCGGCGCTCCGGCGGCCGGCGGTGAGTTCCGGCAAGGCTTGGCCGAGAGAGAACAAGAGAGGGAGAGAGATTTCGGGAGAGGGGGCTGCTGGTGGGGCTGCTGGCCGAAGGAAAATGAGGGAGGAGAGAGAGATGAGGTCAGCTGGTCAATAAAGTGGCCTAGGGGCGACACGTGTCGCCGATCCGGCGGTTTTGACCAAAATACCCCTAATCTAACGGTTTCGGTTGATCCTATCCAAATAATTGAGGGGCAAAAAGGTCTTTAGCCCCAATAATGCAGCTGATAATCCATTTTTAATTATCCCAAATAATTTCCCAAAAATTCGGACCAAAAACAACCCAGCGGCAAAACTGTCATTTTTCCGGTCCTGGGGCGAAATTCCAATTTTCGCACGTATCAACCTCAGATATCCATGGCCAACATAATATGGTGTCGGAATCGCAAAAATAGCCTCTTAAGCCCTTGAAAATTGACTGCAAAGTTTCGGGAATAAAATAATATTATTTTTCCAATTTTTGTCGAAATTCCAATTTTTGGCCATAACGACTCCTGGTATGCGTGGCCACCCAAAAATGGCGTCGGCCTCGAAAAATAACCTCATTTGGCCTCGAAAAGCAACCATGGCATCCCGAGGGGCAAAATCGTAATTTTTCACCCCCGGACCGAAATTTCAATTTTCAACTGTATTAACTCAAAATATGCGTGGCCAGCATAATATGACGTCAGATTTTCAAGAATAGTCTCTTAAACCATCGAAATTCGACATCGAAATCCGGGCCCAATTTCGTGATCAAAACTCGCTCGATTTTCAATTTCAGGGTCTCTCACTAACGGGCGGCTGTCTAGAGGTTACGCGTATCGACCTAGGGTTATCCGAGTCATGACGGTCCTAATCATTGAGAGAATGAGAAATTATCACTAGTCCCAGAGCTCACGATCGTCCGATTTAAGTTCAGGACTGGTTGACCACGTGTACTCTCGGTTGTACAGAATCACCTGCGATCCGATTGTACATCGTTGGCCTTGGCCAAACCCAATCCGTCACCTTTCCTAAGATCGTTCCACATTGGTTCATAATATTCTCTCATCATTTCTCGTGATCGGTGTCCGCTTCGCGATCGGGTCCTTGGTCCACATACCGCTTTCTAATTAGCCATACCCTATTGGTTAGTATCCCGAGAGTGATCAGTTTCTGGGCGAGACTTACTAAAATGAAATGCGAAATATTGTTAATTTTATTGATCCCGGAATTACATCGAAATTCGGGCTATTACAACTCTTCCCCCCTTACAAAAATTTCGTCCTCGAAATTTGTAGTCTACACTTACTCCTCAAACAAGTGGGGGTGTTGACGTCGCATGGCCTCTTCGCTTTCCCAGGTGGCACCTTCCGTTCCGTGGTGCTCCCATACAACTTTGACCATTGGGATCGTCTTATTCCTTAGCACACGGTCTTTCCGATCTTCGATCCTGACTGGCCTTTCCATGTACGACACCTTGTCGTCCACGTCTATCTCCTCATATCTTAGAACGTGAGTCGGATCTGGTTCATACTTTCTTAACATCGACACGTGGAAAACATTGTGTACTTGGGACAGGTTAGGCGGCAAGGCAAGTCGGTAAGCCATATCACCAATCTTTTCCAATATCTCAAATGGCCCGACGTACCTTGAACTGAGTTTTCCTTTCTTTTCGAATCGGGATAATCCTTTCATTGGTGACACCCATGGTCTCCCACTTGAAACTCCAAGGGTCGTCGTCTTCTGTCGGCATAATTCTTTTGGCGACTCTGCGCTGTCCTCAGTCTGTCCCGAATGATTTCCACAGCTTCAACTGACTGCTATACTAACTCTGGGCCTGTGATACTTCGCTCACCTACTTCATCCCAGCACAGGGGCGTCCTACACGCCCTACCATATAAGGCTTCTAACGGTGCCATCTAAATGCTCTGCTGATAGCTGTTATTGTAGGCGAATTCCACTAAATGCAGCTGTACCTCCCATTTGCCCTGAAAATCCACTACACAAGCTCTCAGCATATCCTCTAAGGTCTGAATCGTTCTTTCCGACTGGCCATCAGTCTGCGGATGATAAGCCGTACTGAACTGTAACTTGGTGCCCAAGGCCTCTTACAGACTTTTCCAAAAATTCGCTGTAAATCTCGGATCTCGATCCGACGTGATCGTCACTGGTACCCCATGAAGACGTACTATTTACCTCACATACAATTCGGCATATCTTTCCAACTCAAAGTCCTTTCGCACAGCCAGAAAGTGCGCTGACTTCGTTAAACGATCCACTATGACCCATATCGAGTCATGTCCTCTCTGACTTCGTGGCAATCCCGATACGAAATCCGTCGTGATATGCTCCCACTTCCATTCAGGGATCTCTAACGGTCTCAATAAGCCACCTGGCTTGCAGTGCTGTGCCTTCACTAGTTGGCACGTCAAACACTTGGCCACATGCTTGGCCACATCCGTCTTCATCCCGTTCCACCAATAATGTTGCCGCAGATTCTGATACATTTTCGTACTCCCCGGGTGGATACTGTAATTGCTCCTATGAGCTTCCGATAAGATTTCTTCCTTAAGTTTTATATCATCCGGCACACATAATCGCCCTCTGAACTTTAGAACTCCATCCTCGGACACTTGAAAGTCCGGTTTCGTCTTAGCTGCATCCATCTCAATAATCTTTTGGATTTCTTGGTCCGTAAACTGTAGTTCCTTAATCTTGACCTAAATTTCTGGCTCAATCCTCAAGGCGGCCAGCAAATTCGATACTCGACTCATCTCGAACTTAAACTCGGAATCCCTGAGTCTTTCCAGCAAGGTCCACTCCCTGACCATTAAATGCGCCAAACTAGACTTTCGACTCAAAGCATCTGCCACTCGATTGGCTTTCCCAGGATGATACAGAATGTCGCAATCATAGTCCTTTAGAAGCTCCATCCATCGACGCTGCCTCATGTTCAACTCTTTTTGCGAAAATAGGTACTTGAGGCTTTGATGATCGGTGTAAATCTGGAATTTCTTTCCACACAAATAATGTCTCCAGATTTTGAGCGCAAAAACGATCACAGCTAATTCCAAATCATGCGTCGGGTAATTCATCTCATGGAGCCTTAACTGACGTGACGCATATGCTACCACTTTTCCATGCTGCATCAGGACACAACCAAGTCCTCTTAGTGACGCATCGCTATAAACCTCAAATCCTCCTGGTCCAGATGGAATGGTCAACACGGGAGCAGTTGTCAATCTATGCTTCAGCTCTTGAAAACTCCTCTCACATTTATCATCCCATACGAACTTAGATTCCTTCTTTAGCAATCGCGTCAATGGCATGGCTATCGACGAGAATCCTTCTACAAAACGTCGATAATAGCCGGCCAATCCCAAAAAGCTTCGAATTTCTGTTACTGAGGTCGGCCTAGGCCACTTCATTACTGCTTCAATCTTAGCTGGGTCAACAGATATTCCATCTCCGGAAACTATGTGTCCAAGAAACGCCACTCTGTTTAACCAAAACTCACATTTACTGAACTTGGCGAACAGCTTGTGTTCTCTTAAGGTCCATAGCACTTCTGCCAAGTGTACTTCATGCTCTTCAGGGCTCTTAGAGTACACTAGAATATCATCAATGAAGACTATCACAAACTGGTCCAGGAATTCTTTGAACACCCGATTCATTAAATCCATGAAAGCGGCTGGGGCGTTCGTTAGTCCAAAGGGCATAACCAAAAACTCATAATGCCTGTATCTGGTCCTAAAAGCAGTCTTAGGGATATCCCCGTTCCTGATCCTCAACTGATGATACCCGGTCCTCAAATCTATCTTAGAAAACACTGAGGCTCCTTGTAACTGGTCAAACAGATCATCAATCCTTGGCAGTGGGTACTTATTCTTTACTGTCACTTGGTTCAGCTGCCGGTAATCTATACACAATCTCAGAGTTCCATCTTTCTTCTTGACAAACAGGACCGGCGCTCCCCATGGAGACGCACTAGGGCGAATAAAGCCTTTGTCCAGTAGTTCCTGTATCTGGACCTTTAACTCTTTCAATTCTGATAAAGACATTCTATACGGTGCTTTTGAAATCGGTTCCGTCCCTGGCGCCAATTCAATCACAAACTCCACTTCTTGCTCAGGCGGTAAACCCGGCAATTCTTGAGGAAACACCTCTGGGAAATCGCATACTACGGGTATATCCTCCAACTTAGGTTCCGCCATTGTCGGATCCACTACGTTTACCAGATATCCTTCACACCCATCATCCAACAACTTGCTCACCTCAAGCAAGGAAATCCAAGAGATCGAGGTTCCTCCTCGGTTTCCCTGAAATACAAAACTAGGACATCCATCCGGATTAAATTGGATCGTCCTATCGCTGCAATCCAATACAGCTTTCTGTCGGACTAACCAGTCCATTCTAATGATCACATCAAAATCGAACATGGCTAATACTACCAAGTCGATACGTTCTTCCTTACCCCCAATAATTATCTTACAGCTAGGGCATCCAAAAGAAACTAACGCCCTATCATTCATAGGTGTCGACACGCAAAGCACATTCTCAAGCAACACAGGTTCCAGACCAACCAACTTAATAAACTGCTCTGAAATGAAAGAGTGGGTCGCCCCCGGATCAAACAATGCATAAGCAGCATGATCACATAAGGAAATCTACCTGTGACCACGCCTGGCGCATTCTCAGCTTCTCTGCGCGCCATGGCATAAACCCTTCCTTGAGCTGGTGGTCGTCCTTGATTAGCCGGTAGGGGAAGTCTGGCTTGGTTTCCAATTCGTGGCGGCGGTAGTCTGGGCGGTCCTGAGGGTTGCATCTATGGGCAGTCGCGAATCTGATGCTCCATGCTCCCACACTTAAAACATGCCCCAAATCTACTCGGCTGGGGATTCGGCTTTCCAATTGTCCGTCTAGCGGGTGGAACAAACCGCCTGTTTCCTGTCATAGGTCTCTTCCCCATACGGCGGTTGTCTCTGATCTGAGCAAACCGCGATCCAGAAGCGGCTGCTCTTTCTTGCTGATCCCGCTCTATAATCTGTGCCCACTCATACATTTCCCCGAAATCCTTGATATTGTGCGATACAATCTGGCTCCGGAGATCTGGCTTCAAACCATCCCGGAATCTCCGAGCTTTGTCCCGTGGGTTCTCAACCATAGTCGGTGCGAACTTGGCCAATCTTGCAAATTCTCTTTCATACTGATCAACGGTCATCTGACCTTGGCGCAGTCGCATGAACTCCATCAACTTCTTCTCTTGGGCGACTTCCGAAAAGTACTTTCCATAAAAACTTTCAACAATCACTGCCCAATTTAATTCTGTACCTTCCGGGAATACCCTACCCCTGGTGGCTTTCCACCAATCATTCGTACTGCTCTGCAACTGATACGCCGCTAGCGTCAATTTCTCTGTGTCGGTGCACCCCAATACCTCAAATGTCTTTTCTAATTCCTCTACCCAATCTGGGGCAGCTTCGGGGTCACCTTTACCATTAAACTTTGGCGGCTTCATTTTCAGAAATTGCTCCACCAATTGGGGCATCTGTCGGGCTGTCGCTGGCTGGGCCTGTCCTTGCTGGGCTTGATTACCTTCATTGCCAGCAATCGGAGCGGCCTCAGTTGCCTGAGCATAAGCTGTCACGCCCCGTACCCCACGAAGCGCGAGCATCCCATCTCCGGTCGTTTGTGATGCAACGCTCCCAGGATGCGTCACCGACCCAACGCCCAATCAGAGATAAGTCACATGCGAAAACAACGTATATAAATATATATATATATATATGTATATACACCTGTACAAAACAACACACGTGAGACCAAGGTAGAACAGCCATCAAACAAGAATATACACTTGTACTGTTATAGTGAAAGCCTTTTTACACTATCCATTTGTACAACTCCAAAAACCTCAACATCAGTATTTAACTGCCACTATATCAAAAGGGTAGGTGGCACAGGTGGTTAGGCTAACTAGGATATGAATGCTATTCAAAAAGAGACAGTCTTCGCTTCCCATGGTACCGGCCTGCTCTAGCGCTCCCAGTCAGGGTCGAACGACTCGGTAGAATCATCTGGCAACTCCTCGAAGGCATCTTTACGGCTGGGGGTCTGAAAAGTTTCGGTTTACACAACCGTGAGACGAATCTCAGTGAGTTCAACCCCTAAACCTAGGCTAGGCTAGCATGCAATCTCCTGACCGGAAATAAATATTTAAATCACAATACAACGACAATCAAATAATTCTCTGACCCTACAGGTTGGCAGTTCAATATATAATAATCACGACACGTACGTGGCACACATTATCACACGTACGCCAATCACATGCTCATGCACCGAGTCTCACACACTCGCATGCCAATCCATGCATGTTCATGCATGCAAATGTCGTCGACATGTCACGTATATTTCCCGGCCCACTGGCCCACACTGGCAATCGCCCAATTTATTATTTATTACGACTCGAGTCAACAACATTCACGGCCCAGTGCGTCTAGCCTGCTTCAAAGTGCATGAGGTGCGAGCAACCGATCTGGCCCAGGTGTCTCTAGCCTCGCTTCAAAGTGCATGAGGCGCAACACTGATCTCCTTACGAACTAGAGCCTGCTTCAAAGTGCATGAGGATGGTCGTCTTCCGGACGTACCGGGCATCGTCCTGCTTCAAAGTGCATGAGGACGGTATCGACCCGAAGGTCACGACCCGAAGGCCCTTAGGTGATCACACAACCCATTATTATCTAAACCCCGCGTAAAACGCTTCAGGGTATTTTAGGTGATCACATGCTCATGACAGGCACGCAGTCTCACACAATTTCATCACAAGCCTCATTCTCGGCATTCATAATGCGTGCCATGAAATGCAACATGAGCATCCACATAACATAGGCACAGGCACACAGTTCAATCAAAGTCATTCCACAGTGCCTAATTCACAATCCACGTGCTTACTTGGCCTATTAATATCGTGCGGCCCAATTCCAAATACACAATTCAAGCCATCAATTGGCCAATCACACTTCGCACGATTCAGCCACACAAGCACGCAACATGGCATTTCACAATTAAACACAATTGATCACCAATCAATCAACAGCCAATCATTCTGGGTAATCCCGGCCATTCAGCTAATAACTCTTGATGTTCAATATAATCCGGTACATTCCTCAAAAATATGGACAGCCGTTATTTCCTCAATCCGAGCCCAATAATTATCTATAATAATCCCACTAAATTCCTCGGATTTTATTTCCACCAATCAGTCCTCAATCCAGTCCGAATTATACACTGATAATACCTAAACCAGTCCAGAAAAATGCACTATCAGTCCTAATCCGGGTTTAGGAATTTTACTCACCTAATCCAAAGTCACGACGACGGGGAACGGCGGCCGATCACTGGTGAACAGTGAAACAGGTGGCGGAATTCCCGGCGACGGCGTACGGACGACGTGAACAGTGACCGTACGGACGCGGTGAACAGTAACCACTGTACGGACGCTGTACTGACATGCTGGGAACGGTGGCCGGCGCGACGGCCGTACGGACGGCAACCGTACGTCGCTACAGTACCGTCCGTACAAGACACTGTACGGACGGGTACGGTCGGCGTCATACAGCGTGGCTGGACAGCTGGGTGGCGACGGAACAGCGATCAGAGCTCCGGCGAGGCTCCGACGCGCCGGCGGTGCTAACCTGAGAGAGAAAAAGAGAGAAAAAGAGAGGGAAAGAGAGAGAGAAATGGGTCGGACAGGGACAAGGCCGAGGCTGGGGGCTGTGGTGGTCGACGGCGGGGCACGGCGGCAAGCTCCGGCGAGGCAAACCGAGAGAGAGAAAATGAGAGAAAGAGAGGATGATCTGCTGGTGGGGGTGGTCTGGCCGTGAGGGAGGGTGAGGAGAGAGAGAAAGCAGTCCAAGTTGGTCAAATATATCAGCCCACAAGTGCCACGTGTCGCCGATCCGCGAAAAATGACCAAAACGCCCCTAATCTAACGGTTCTAAAGAGATAGGCTTAAATAATTGAGGGGCAATTAGGTCTTTGGTGCCAATAATGCAGCTAATGACCTCTGGTAATTATCCCAAAAATATCCCAAAAATTCGGACCCGAAAATAGCCCAGGGGCAAAATTGTCATTTTTCCGGTCCCGGGGCGAAATTCCAATTTCACACATACGCGTTCCATATGTGCGTAGCCAACATAATATGGTGTCGGATTCGCGAAATTCACTTTCTAAGCCCTCGAAAATCGACTGCGAAGTTTCGGGAATAAAATAATATTATTTTCCCAATTTTTGTCGAAATTCCAATTTTTGGCCATAACGACTCCTGGTATGCATGGCCACCCAAAAATGGCGTCGGCCACGAAAAATAACCTCAGACGGCCTCAGAATCAACGCTGGCGTCCCGAGGGGCAAAATCGTAATTTTTCACCCCCAGACCGAAATTCCAATTTTCAACTGTACTAACTCAAAATATGTGTGGCCAGCATAATATGACGTCAGATTCCCAAAATAATCTCTTAAGCCATCGAAAATCGACATCGACATCGAAATCCGAGCCCAATTTCGTGATCAAAACTCGCTCAATTTTCAATTTCATGGTCTCTCACTAACGGGCGGCTATCTAGAGGTTACGCGTATCGACCTAAGGTTATCCGAGTCATGACGGTCCTGATCATTGAGAGAATGAGAAATTATCACTAGTCCTAGAGGTCACGATCGTCCGGTTTAAGTTCAGGACTGATTGGCCACGTGCACTCTCGGTCATGCAGAATCACCTGCGAATCCGATTGTACATCGTTGGCCTTGGCCAAACCAAATCCGTTACCTTTCCTAAGATCGATCCACATTGGTTCATAATATTCTCTCATTATTTCTCTTGATCGGTGTCCGCTTCGCGATCGAATCCTTGGTCCACGTACCGCTTTCTAATTAGCCATACCCTATTGGTTAGTATCCCGAGAGTGATCAGCTCTGGGTGAGACTTACTAAAATGAAATGCGAAATATTGACAATTTTATTGATCCCGGAATTACATCGAAATTCGGGCTGTTACATAAGCTGCGGCCCTTTCCTGATCCTGCAATCGCATAACACGCCGTATCTCCCTTAGGGTATTCATCACATCATCAAACCTCGGATCTCTAGCCTCACGGGCTCCCTCGCTAGCCTGGGCTTGGGGCTCCTTTCCCCTTCTCCTGCTTGGAGTTTGAATGATATCCTCTAGTCGGCGGTCTCGGTCCTCTTGGCCTCCTGAACTAGGCTGACCCTGAGGTTCCTTACCCTTTCTTCTACTCATCTTGCTACCCGGCTATACAACTACCGCTATAATTCCATTAAGGAATTAAAGACTTAAACCAATCTATCCCGGTCTAAGTCCTAGGCGGTACCAAAACAACAATCAAACAACCAAGCATGCGGCCTAACAAGAGCCAATCAACACATCATCCAAGGAGTTCGCGTACTCACCTCAGTCCTGCCGCACCCGCACTTTACGGGTCATACCGATGAGCACTCAATCAAACACAGCCGTCAGGAGATGCATGTAGCACACAAGGTCACCCTACTGGCTACCCATGGTCTCATCGCTCCTTATCACTCCAGGCTTCAACCAGATTGGACCGAGCTGACCTTGCTCTGATACCAAATCAAACGAGAATGTCACGCCCCGTACCCTACGAAGCGCTAACATCCCTACCTTGGTCAATTATGGTGCGACATCCTAGGATGCGTCGCCGATCCAAACCCCATCAGAGATCAGACACAAGCGAAAACCACGTATATAAATATATATACACCCGAACAGATAAACACATGAGACCACAGATAAAACATCGCACCAACAGAAATGAACATTTCATGACTCACTTAAAACCCCTTTTTACAACGTACTTTATACAGATCAAAAGATTTAAACGAAGACAACAACTTCTAGCAGCCACCAGATCAAAAAGGTACTATGGCTGAGGAAAGGTGGGGTCAACTACAGGGAAGATCACAGTCAAAAAGGTACTAGCTTCCCTAAAAGAGTTGAGACCTAAGCTAGGGCTCCCAATCCAGATCCGACGATTCTGAGGACTCCCCTGCTGATCTCTCTTGAGGCTCGGACTCTTCGGAATCCATATCCGTTGCTGCTACCTCTTCGTCTTCAGTATCCGGTTCAAGCTCTGGGTCAAGATAAAGCCCTAACTCATCATCGGGTCCTATCTCTACATCCGATCCTACCTCTGCTACTTCCCCATGGTCTTCATCAGAATCTAGATCCATGTCCTCCAGTTCGTCTTCTTCCTTGGCAGCTTGGTCTAGGTCTTCAGCTATCACCTGTGGCTCCTGTGGCTCCCCATCCATAGGCTCATCAACGCCATCTACATCGTAGACATCCTGATGATTGATCACTTCGCCACCCGCAATTATGGGTTCCATCAATCCATCCTGACCGACTGGCACATCAAAAGTCCTAAGGGGTTGCCCTAAGTTCCCGTCAGCATCCCTCAAGCACCAAGCCACATACTCCTGAGTCTGATGAAAATATTCGCCCACGTTTACAAACACCATAGATCGGTATCTTACATATGATTCCCCATTTCCTGCGGGGTACGTACTTGTATACTGATGTATCTGTACAGGGATTCCAAAAAGCGGTGGATTCGGCATCCTTACTGCTGGGGGTATGAAAAGTTGGGTTATAATAACCGTGAGATGAATCTCAGCGAGTATAACCCCTAAACCTAGGCTAGGCTAACATGTAATCTCCTGACCGGAAATAAATATTTGAAACCATAATGCAACAACAATTAAATAATTCTCTGACCCTACAGGTTAAGCAGTTCAATATATAATAATCACGGCATGTACGTGGCACACATTATCACACGTACGCCAATCACATGCTCATGTACCGAGTCTCACACACTCGCATGCCAGTCCATGCATGTTCATGCATGCAAATATCGTCAACATGTCACGTGCATTTCCCGGCCCACTGGCCCACACTGGCAATTGCCCAATTTATTATTTATTACGACTCGAGTCAACAACATTCACGGCCCGGTGCGTCTAGCCTGCTTCAAAGTGCATGAGGCGCAGCAACCGATCTGGCCCAGTGTCTCTAGCCTGCTTCAAAGTGCATGAGACGCAACACTGATCTCCTTACGAACCAGAGCCTGCTTCAAAGCGCATGAGGATGGTCGTCTTCCGGACGTACCGGGCATCGTCCTACTTCAAAGTGCATGAGGACGGTATCGATCCGAAGGTCACGACCCGAAGGTCTTTAGGTGATCGCACAACTCATTATTATCCGAACCCAGCGTATGACGCTTCAGGGTATTCTAGGTGATCACACACTCATGGCAGGCACGCATTCTCGCACAATTTCCCCACATGCCTCACACTAGGCATACATAATGCGTGTCCATGTTATGCAATGCAATGCACCATGAGCACCAATGAAATTCAAACACTCAATATCACAACACGTGCTCAATTGGCCCAATTAGTACCGTGTGGCCCAATATGCGATTCACAATTCAATAATTAATTGCAAGCCAAACAGTGGCCAGTTGCACTCCACAAAAGTCAGCCACACCACATGCGACATAGCAGTACTCAATAAATCACAATTAAGCACGAATTACATACAATCAGTCAACCCGGACATACCCGGCAATTCCACCAATGGGCTCCTAAATTGGCCAATCAATCCAATTACTCTTCCCAATAAATTCTCATTGATCCACTACATTTTTCCCGATAATAATTCCTACCAATCGGTACACTAATTCCTCTCAGCATATACTAGTATTCCTAAACCAGTCCAGAAAAATACACTATCAGTCCTAATCCGGGTTTAGGAATTTTACTCACTTAATCCAAGGTCACGACGACGGGGAACGCCTGCCGATCACTGGTGAATATTAAAACCGGCGGCGGAATTCCCGGCGACGGCGTACGGACGCATGGACAGTGACCGTACGTACGGCGTGAACAATACCGTACGGTGGCTACAGTGCCGGTCATACGGACACTGTACGGACAGGTATGGTCGGCGTCGTACAGCGTGGCTGGACGACTGGGTGGCGACGGAACGGCGATCCGAGCTCCGGCGGCTCTATTTGCCGGACGGGAAAGAGAGAAAAAGAGGAAGAAAGAGAGAGAAATAGAGAGAGAAAGGGGCCGGACAAGGGTGAGGCTAAGGCTGGGGGCTGAGGTGGTCGGCGGCGAGGCACGGTGGCCGGCGGCGGCGCTCCGGCGGCCGGCGGTGAGTTCCGGCAAGGCTTGGCCGAGAGAGAACAAGAGAGGGAGAGAGATTTCGGGAGAGGGGGCTGCTGGTGGGGCTGCTGGCCGAAGGAAAATGAGGGAGGAGAGAGAGATGAGGTCAGCTGGTCAATAAAGTGGCCTAGGGGCGACACGTGTCGCCGATCCGGCGGTTTTGACCAAAATACCCCTAATCTAACGGTCTCGGTTGATCCTATCCAAATAATTGAGGGGAAAAAATGTCTTTAGCCCCAATAATGCAGCTGATAATCCATTTTTAATTATCCCAAATAATTTCCCAAAAATTCGGACCAAAAATAGCCCAGGGGCAAAACTGTCATTTTTCCGGTCCCGGGGCGAAATTCCAATTTTCGCACGTATCAACCCCAGATGTCCGTGGCCAACATAATATGGCGTCAGAATAGCGAAAATAGCCTCTTAAGCCCTTATAAATTGACTGCAAAGTTCCGGGAATAAAATAATATTATTTTTCCAATTTTTGTCGAAATTCCAATTTTTTGCCATAACGACTCCTGGTATGCGTGGCCACCCAAAAATGGCGTCGGCCTCGAAAAATAACCTCATTTGGCCTCGAAAAGCAACGCTGGCGTCCCGAGGGGCAAAATCGTAATTTTTCACCCCCGGACCGAAATTCCAATTTTCAACTGTATTAACTCAAAATATGCGTGGCCAGCATAATATGACGTCAGATTTCCAAGAATAGTCTCTTAAGCCATCGAAATTCGACATCGAAATCCGGGTCCAATTTCGTGATCAAAACTCGCTCGATTTTCAATTTCATGGTCTCTCACTAACGGGCGGCTGTCTAGAGGTTACGCGTATCGACCTAGGGTTATCCGAGTCATGACGGTCCTGATCATTGAGAGAATGAGAAATTATCACTAGTCCCAGAGGTCACGATCGTCCGATTTAAGTTCAGGACTGGTTGACCACGTGTACTCTCGGTGGTGCAAAATCACCTGCGATCCGATTGTACATCGTTGGCCTTGGCCAAACCCAATGCGTCACCTTTCCTAAGATCGTTCCACATTGGTTCATAATATTCTCTCATCATTTCTCGTGATCGGTGTCCACTTCGCGATCGGGTCCTTGGTCCACGTACCGCTTTCTAATTAGACATACCCTATTGGTTAGTATCTCGAAAGTGATCAGCTCTGGGCGAGACTTACTAAAATGAAATGCGAAATATTATCAATTTTATTGATCCCGGAATTACATCGAAATTCGGGCTGTTACTGTAAAAGGATTTGACAAAGCCAAAAGAAACGCACCATTAGTCCTTCCGACTAATTTTGACAGGAAATCGCTGACATTGCGGTCTAGTCAGCGCCGACCGTCCTATGTGATATGATCGACACTTACGTGGACAATTTTTGCAATTTTTTAAATTTTTTGAATTTTTTTCCTTTCTTCTCTCCGCCGGCCATCACCCAACCTCGTCAATGCTAGCTTCAAGCAAGGGCCACCTTCGCCAGCCCAAGCGCAGGCCAGCCTCAAGCAAAGGATGCCTGCGCTTGGGCTGGCGAGGGTTGCCCTCACCTGGGTGGGCATGGGCCGCCCTCCCTAGGCTGGCGAGGGCTAGGGTTCCCTTGTCAGATATGGCGAGGGTTGCCCTCGCCCGATCCAGCAAGGGCGGCCCTTGCCAGCCTAGGCCTGGCCATCCCTCACCCAAGGCCAGCGACCTTTTTCGGCCATCAATGAGGCCCAGCAATGGCCAACGGAGGGAAAATGAAAAAAGAAAGAAAAGGAAAGGAAGAAAAAAATAAAAAAAAAATTCAAAATATTAAAAAAAATTGCAAAAATTATCCACGTTAGCGCCGACCGTGATGTGTAAGACATTTGACGTTGATTAGATCGACATGTCAGCAATTTCCGATCAAAATTGACCGGAATGACTAAATTGGCAAATCACTAAAAAGTTTATGACTAAATTGGAAAATCATCAAAAGTTTTAGGACTAAATTGGCATAATTGAAAAGTTTATGACTAAATGGTATGTTGTCAAAAAGTTTAGGACTAAATTGACACAATTGAAAGGTTTAGAACTGAATCGGCTATCGTACAATAAATTTGTGACTTTTGGACAATTTTCCCAATATGAAATGTAACAAAATTGTCACAAGATTGTTATCTATCTATGGTCTGTCACATATTCGACAAAAATTTTATGTACCTTGCAATCTCACACAAATATCAATCAAACATTTAAAAAAGGGACTAGCAGGTGCTAAATCATGGAAATGTGCAGACAATCCAATGCTATCCAAACCCTTTTAGTCCCAAAAATCGTATTACGTCACGAGAAAGACGTAATTAACAATTCAAACTTAAGAGGATTATGGTGGGTTCATTTTTCGCCAATCAATGTAAAATATAACAAAACCGACAAAAGATCGTTATTTATTTAGGGTCAGTCAAATTCGATAACAATTCACGACCAAAAAAAAATTCGATAATAATTATATGGATTAGTGTTATTATATTTTATGTACCTTGTAATCTCACACATATATGATTCAATTCCGATAAAGAGATCAAAAAGAAAAGAAAAGAAAAGGGACTTCAAAGTATGAAAGGGGAATGAATCCTCCAGGGAGCCCTAACTAAACACCTTGAGAAGAAGCCCTGTTTTTCTGCTGCAATCACCAGTCAATCATGCAACAGGTAAGAATGTCTCTCCAGAAATCAATCGATTTCGGAAAACCCTAATTTCCATTTCTGACGATGATCGAAACTTTGATTCATGGAGGGCGGGGGATCGGAGACGGAGGTCACTTGGGACGATCAGCAGAACATCAACAGGTTCTCCAAGCTCAACAACCGGTTCCACGAGCTGGAGGACGAGATCAGAATCGCCAAGGTGCCGCCTTTCTTTCGTTCTGTCGATGGAAGCCGGTCTTCAGTTGGTCTTTCGTTTTTACCGTGTGTTTTCCGTTGCTGGGTCGGATGGGTTGCTGCATCAGATGAGAAGGGCGTGTGTGAACTAGGGGGATGTGCGCGGGGGAGTAATTTCTTGTGGGTTCTGGCTCGTTGAATGTTGGTTTTCCTGAAAGTTGGCTATAGTTGTTGATCGGAGGTTGATCTTCAGTAGAAATTTGAAAGTAGCTGGTAATTGTTACTGGGTTGGATTTGATGCTCGGCTTTTAAGCCTGTGTTCTTTGTTTCTTGATGAGCTTTCTGTCGGCTTCAGCTTCTTGGGATAGTGAGATTGTTCCACTCTTAAGCAAAATCAGGCATTAAAAATTGTTATATTGCTGAAGACAAATTTGAAAAGCAGCTTTCTTGAAGTAAAGAGAGTGAAATATCCTTTTTTGGGATTTTGGACGAGATTAAACCCGTTACTCGTGGGATTATGTAGTTTGTGGGAGTGCATTGTTCGTAAATCTTTTGGTTGGTATGACAAAAATGCTTGAGCAAGAAGCCGCTTTGATGATTTCTGTGTGAGTTATGCTCAACCTTTACCTGTTTACGGCAATGTGCAATAAGTGGTTTTTCGATAGACCCCTAGGAAATGGAGTTGGCAAATCTTTATATTTGAAACACTCCAAAATTTTGGGATTCAAATTTTCGAGCTCCTTCATCTTTATCTACATTTGGTAGAAGGTTGAGTGAGTGAGCAGCTTTGACATCTGACCTTTTCATGCACTGGTAACTGATTTTGTTGTTCGTGAATGACCTTGTATTTACTTTGGGCATATAAATTTAACTAGCAAACCTGATAAATGGATGGATGTCTTATCAGAGAATATTGGTAGTATGTACACATTCAATGGCATTACTGGATGAACGGGAGTCTCTGATTTGATGTTTTTGAACTCACATTACAAACAGATTCTTAACATAATTAAGAACTCAGGATATTTCTGTGCCGGTAAAATCATACTAAAGTCATGGAAGCATATCGATCTGTCTTCTATGACCAGCCAATGGATATTTCTGTGCTGTTACATTCTGGTGAGCTTGTGGGTGCTTGAGTTTGCGACCCCTCACAAGTATTTAATTTTCTTGCTCTCTAGTATTTACTTAGCTTCTTTAGAACACCCATTTTGCGAAAGAGTCTTGTCAGTTCTCTATTATCTTTCTGTGAGCTGATTCAGATCTAACCTTGTGCTAAAGGATAGAAGAAGTTACGACTCACTCTTCTCACCCCGTATCCCTCTAGCCCATGTCACCTGCTTATCTCCTCTCAATGTTCAACTTGTTTTCAGGAAACAAACGACAATCTTGAGGATGCGAGCAATGAGTTAATTCTTACTGATGAGGAGGTAGTGCGCTTCCAGATAGGGGAGGTTTTCGCTCACGTGCCAAAGGATGAAGTGGAGAGCCGAATCGAAGAGATGAAAGAAGTAACTACGAAAAACTTGGGGAAACTGGAAGAGGAGAAAGATTCTGTGCTTGCGCAGATGGCCGAGTTGAAGAAAATTTTGTATGGGAAGTTCGGGGACTCCATCAATTTGGAAGAGGATTAACATAGCTGTCCCTGTTGGTTTTCCTTTGGTTTCTGTTGATTGAATCATTTCTCATTTGCTTGCCGGCTTCAGGAAATTTAGAATGCTTGCTGTAAGATCAATGCAATAGCCTGGTTTGTGATCTGCCAACTGCCATTATGAGTAACTTATCGTGTTCTTAAATTCTTACTTTGTTGCCATGAGTTTTGGTCCCCTTTCTGATCAGTCACTTGAATTTGTCATCCTTCCTTTAGTCTTAAGCTGCGGTACAAGACTGTTTTCTCTACTTCTGGGGTTTCCTCTTTCGTGCGAATGTTACTCCCCCTAATTTTACTTTCCAAACACATACCGTGACACTGATGTAGAATCACAACGTGTGGCATAGGAGTACCAAACTCAATACGAAATTAATTTGGTATTATACTTTCTGGCCGATATATTACCTGTAGGTAAACAAATCAGCAAGGTATGAAGTGAGGAGAGGGTTAAGTCATGACTCGTCAGCGCACAATGAGAGAAGGGTCATTGTAAGATTCATTTGGGATGTACCCTGTCATAGTTCTAAGTCTGCTAATTTGTGGCGAGTTTGTTTTGAACTAACTAAAGAACAAAGCTAAGTGCTTTTTACAATTAAAGCTCGACATTGCACAATTTTCAAGTTCTTATTAGTAGCTGGAACAAGTTCAGCAATCGACGTCACGCACCGCACGCTTTTCACAAATAGAAGGCAGAAAAGAACCATAGATGGGTTAGAGGATGAAGGCGCACACGCAAGCAAGGCACTTTAAACATTCCACAGAAGGATATGCAAGCATGGTCTTCCTAACATTCAAGACTTTCATAATTAAACCATGACAAGTATTGAAACATCTATTCAAAGGCGCAAATTTCCAAATGTTCAGGTATTGCGAGAAATGGGAATTGATATCTACAGTATTTTAGGTGAAAAGCAAAAGAATGATTGACCCAAAGAACAAGAATTAAGGAAGGTGTAACTGAATACATAGCCTAACCCTCTCCAAATCTGCAATCCGTCCATCATATTGACCTGAACTTCTGGCAATAAAAGCTGCTTCTGAATCGGTGGCCAAGAGATGTTATGTATGGACATTAGCTGAGGCCATGAACGGCCAAGTATGGTCGCCAAATGTCGGCATTGTTCCCAGTTTGCAAGATCTTCAGCTCGCATTTACCGCAGCAGGCAACAAGAATGTCCAAACAGAGAGAGAGAGAGGGGGATGCACTATCTCAGCATAATCAAAACGACTAGCAGTCATGGTTAAACTGAATGATCCGACTACTCTCGCAACCCAGTGCCGCGCAGGGCATATTTATCCCAAAATTCAAGTCAATGCTAACCAAAACACGAAGTCATTTCGCAGGATGAACCATACCCAACTGAAGCAATCCAATGAATCTAAACAAATGTTTTCCCAATTACATTCTACCAGCAATGAAGCCTGTCCTCTATCTTCTCTTCTCAAAGCATGAGCATACCCATCAAGCTCCACCCACGAAACAGCATCAGATCCAAAAAATTACCTACACCTCCCAAGCCCCTCAAATCAAAAACCCGTGTGAAGAAACCTCCTAGCCTATTAGAAACAAGAGCAAGAACACACCACCAAAAACAAGAACTACCTCCAAGTTCCAACACCCCAATATACCAACTTTAATAAGCCTTCAAATTCCGGAATTCACCATCTAAAATCACAAAGAAACTTCACGTCCGAGTATAAGAAGTGGGTCTCAAGGGTTGGTTGCCAACAACAGAGAAGAGCCCGCTCTCTTCTTCATCCACATACAAATCCTCCGAATTCCTGAACCCAGCATGCAATCCAATCACAAACACCCCAATCGCCAACGAGATCAACACATTCAGCCCCACGCCGGTCAAAACCAACGCGATTGCGGTCACCACGCTCAGCCCCGCGAGCACGACCCTGTCGTCGAAGCTGCGGCCGAGGACCACGAGGGGTTGGTCGACGGAGAAGTAGAGGGCGTACCAAGCGAGGAGGACGGCGGTGAAGACCATCAGCGCGACCGGGTGCCACAGGAGGCCGAGGAAGACGGCGAGGAGCGTCACGATCGCGTAGTTCAGGCGGAAGTGGCCGAGGTTCTTGGCCACGCGGGAGGCGGCGTCGGTGGGGCTGTAGGGGAGGGAGAAGGAGGAGAGGTCCAGGAATTCCCGCCAGGGGCGGCGCGTGGGGAAGGGGGCGGCGGCCCGCGACGTGTAGAAGAGCGCGGCGGCCGGCCTTGCGGCGGCCGGCCTTGCGGCGGCGGAGGGGGCGGCGGCGGCGGAGGCGGAGGCGGAGGCGGCGGCGGTGGCGGTGCCGTAGTTGGGAACCGCCGCCGGCTTCATCGTAATCGGAAGAGAGGGAGAGGAGAGAGAGAGAGAGAGAGAAGGGAAGTACAGCTGAGACAGATCTAAAGAGAGAGGGAAACATGGGGAGGAGGAGTTGTTCTTTTTGATTTTTTTTTTTTTGTTACTTTTTTTAGATTTTCAATAAAAAAATTATAATAGTATATGTTTTCTTAATTTATATATAATATTTTTTTGGTCAAAATTTATATATATAATATGCACATACATATATATGTATGTATGTATGTATGGATTGGATCCAATACACGAACGTGAAGGCCATTAACTTCTTTGCTTGCAATTGCAGGAAAGAGCAGCAACCTCTCCAACGTAGTACTGTGGGAAAAGCATCTGTTCACATTGCTAAAATATCATGACTTTTCCAGCTAATTTTTTCTTGAAATTCTGAGAGACCGCCGAAGTAGTTTGATGAAACCTTAAACGAGCGATCAAGGTATCTAGAATGTAACATCGAAAAAGAATTCAAATAGATGTGATCGACATGATAAGATCATCGCAGCACGTGACAATGTTAGATATCCAAAACACAGAAGTCTTTTCCTAAAGTTGGCTAGTTTTAGAACTTCCGAAAGAGTTGTACAAAACACAAAGGGAAAATGACACAAATAGTCTATAAACTTTATCTTAATGTGCAATGTGATTCATAAACTTTAACCTAATGAGCAATGTGGTCCCCGAACTTTTAATTTGTTCAATGTGATTATTGAACTTTTTATGTTACATGTTTAATTTAGTCCCTAGACTAGATAATTCATGAGTTAGATTCAGTCTAGAAATATAATAATTCATGATTATTGAACAAATTATAATTTCAGAGACCACATTGCCCATTAAAATAAATTTTAAAGACCATTTGTGTAATTATCCCAAACACAAATGGTGATAAGTTTTTTCCGTGTACTTACCTAAAATTAGGTCTTGGAATAAGTCTCAAAGATCTAGTTTTTGTATAAGAACCATCAGATCCACCAAAGACTTTCGGCAGAAGACTAGATAGATTGACACCAGATGGACAACAGGTCATTAGGAGAAGAAAACGTTGTCGACCTGCAATTCTAATTGAAACAAACTACTTTTCTTGTTTTTTTTTTTTTTGTCGATAGAAAAGCCGAAGACCATATCGATCCCCGACACGATTCGAAGAGCCGGCAAACCATTCCCGACAAATCAAACATGCAAAGAGAATATCAATGCCAAACCTCAGAAATCTTTCACAAACTGGGCCATGCTCAGATCTTCTGACAAAAGGGAAACACTGAACGAAAGAACCGAAAACTGTACGGGCTCGTACCAAAACATGTTCATGCAACGGATTGACGAAAGTTAATGCTTCTTTCCTGACTTTCTAACAGCAAGTAACTATGAGGCAACCATAATCACGAGCACGTTCCTTACTCAGGCATCGAGCTCTTCCATCTTCATCATGTTTAAAGTCGAACTGATCCGATCCTTACCGCAGAACTTCCTTGCAGCTTCAAAAGCTTCCCTGTACAGATGAGAAAGCATAAATAGGACTAACTTTAAAATTGCATACATGACATGATTCATTTTAGTCTCTAGAAGTCGAGTGCTCAACCATTTATTATGGATGCATAAGTTGTTAGATGCAGCGGTGCTTCAATATTTGCATTCGCTAACATAGCCATCTAATTGAGACATAAGATTCTCTGTGCTCTGACGAAAGAGCGAGCAACAGAATTTAGCATTTGCTTAATAAACCTGTGGACCAAATACTAGATATGACTGCCTCTGGAAACTGATACTTTCGCGTTATGAGCACGAAATCTTCTCAATCACCAAGCGTAACACCACAGAATCGCGTTCAACTTTGACAACTGTTCAATGCTTTCGCCATTTTACCAAAAGCAGCTGGTTCGCTTAATTACTCTTCCCCATTCTGCATCATTAATCAGGCACATTTGATATTGACATTCCTTTCTACTCTTTCGCATTCTGTAGCCTTTCCTTATTGCGCATAATCTAGCTCCAACAGTTCGCCGGGCATATAGATTCCATAGGACCATTGTCGACATCACGATGTTATTCTAATTAAATTTACAGCTAGGACACGGGTGAAGGTAAGCCTAAAACTATAACAGTGACCTTTACATATTGTTTCTTACTCCAAGGTTGGAGAAATTGATTCGGCCTAACCTGAAAGCGTTTACAAGCTCCTCATTTTCAGGGTCAAGCTTCATAGCCTCATAGAAAGAATTGGCAGCTTCCTCAAACCTCTGCCAAACATATCACCGCCATGTACAGTCATAATATGTACAAACAAACTACTTTCTGTTGATAGACTAAAGGGATAAGAATTAGCAGAAGTGTACCTGTAGTAAACGCAGAGCTGCACCTTCCCTATACCAAGCTTTTGGCCAATCTGGTTTAAAGGCCTTACAGGCCATTGCATCAACTAGAGCATGTTCCACTTCCCCCAAGCGAATCCAGCAAATACTTCTATTAGAAAGCAAAGTTGCATCATTTGGGTCAAAGCCTCTTGCCTGTAACTCCCAAACCAAATGAGCAGTAAAATTCAGTCAGATTGAAAGCTTTTTGTTTGATTTTAAAGGTCACTTTGTAAGCAAGCTCTGGAGTCCAATAAAACAAAAAGAGATTCTTCTTTCGCAATACTTGAGAACCAAGTTAAACACGTGAAATCCAAATTTGTCGAACTTATGACAAAAGACATTACTCGTGTATAACCATCCAAAGCTGCTCAATAGTCTTTTCTTCTGTAAGAATCATCTCCTCTTAATTTGGCCTCTGCAGCTTTCTGTTTGGCTTCTCCGACTCTCCTGAAGAAGTGATATGTCACATAACAAAACAGATGGAAACTCATACTTCCAATATCTCTACATTCACAGAAGGTAAGCAATCTCCAAGCCCACCCGAATCAGTCAAATTATGGATCAAATTTTACATTCACAGTCAAAGTACAGACTGTAGACTTGTGATTGATTACTCCACCCACAGTACTTCACAAGAAAGAAGAAAAAAAGGAATACCCATCTTATACATTATACAATTATGACGATCATGCTACTACAGTCTACATCCAAATTTTCTATCAGCAACTTTTTGATTTATCTCTTCAATCGGTATTCATATAAGTTCTTCCTAGATGAGTTGCTTCAGGTCGATAATGGAATGGCAAACAAATAGCTTTTATTTTCATTGACCATATATTTCATTTTGTTAAGCTGAAAAAAAGAAAGTAAAACGAAGTTACCTCTTAAGGAAAAAAGCGACGCATTTCACGGATGAACTAATCATCCTAACCAATAAAATAAGGGAAAACACAAACACTATCTACGGCAAAAAACAATAAACTTCAGAGATCTACTAATCTTCCTAATAAAACAGATCAGGGAAAAACAAACTAAGTTGTTACCTATCCAATGAATTGACATATGTCAGGTAATTTAAGGAAAATAACTACATGATTAACAATATAAAACTACAATACACCATTACCTTTGAGATCTTTTGCTTTGTCAATGAGGCGTCCTTTTTATTACTACTTTCCTCTGCTTTGCCGACTTCTTCCTGCAAATCGAACTATTGAGCTAGTCCACAAAACAAGAGAAATGACAGAAGAAGTGTGACTTTACTACCAAATATTGCTCCAACTGAAGGACTCCCTTCACACAAAGGACTAATTAAAGAGCTCCCTACAAGTCTTTTGTCATTCTACATTGACTCATAGTTTATATCGACAATAAGGAGAGGCTTTCTACCATATTGTTACAAAAGTCATTTCAGTCTAATTTTCCTTCAAAAGTTGGTCAGGCGTATTCTTGTCCAAAATTCTCTTCTACAACGAGCATTACTCTCAACCTATGAGACCCCAGAGACGCAAAAGAACTCTTTCTCGTCCCAACAGTGAGCAACAAAACACAAACCTCCATTTTCAGCCCATAGGGCATTGCTGACATTAAAGATCCAAGGATCAAAGCCTGCATTTATAAACAACAATTCAATCAGGAAAGAAAACGTGGATGATCTGGTGAAGCTAAAGTACTAGAAAATTCGTGAATTCTGGAAGTTTTGATTTCAATCAGAGGAAGCAAGAAAGTTAAAGAAAACCAAACGAGACGAGGGCCCCAGTACCTGCATATCACCAGTTTCAGACGGCACATACTACAAAATTCCATCCACGCTCCATTCTGGGATAGTTTGAATTGTAGAGGTCTTCGGAAAGAGAATCTCCACAGCTGCACGATTTCCTCTTTGGGCTGCAACATCTATATGCTTTATCCCATACTGTGATGACAACAAGAAAGCATGATACATGATGAATTGCATGATACACGATGAATAACTCATCATCCAAATAATATCCCAGGACAAGAGACAAAATATTAAAATTTTCCCAGGAATAAGCGAAATGAATGCAACGACGATAATACTGGAGATGAGGGATCAGAATTCCAGATTAAGTAAATGAATAGCTACTGATAAAGCACTAGACCATGCAAAAATTTAAGCAATCATCAATTCAGAAAAAATGTTTATGATACATCATAAGTAGTTCCTATAGGCTGGAGACGATGGGGTCAGTCCATGGATTTTTTTTCCTTTTGCCATATTTGCATCAAAACAAGCTTTCAAAATATGCAAGTAAGTGAAGTTTTATAAATATATAATGCAAACTTCCGGAGAAGTAAAACTCTAAAGCTTTCGACCTGATCTGCAATATCAGCATCAGCTCAAGCCTCTAATAGACAATTTACGATTTCTAGTTTCCGAAAATAAGCAGCAACGAGCAGTGGTGTTCCTCCTTCGGCCCAACTCATATTTAATTTAGTGCCCGCCTGCATGGACAGCGAAATGCAATAAATATTACCAGGTACGATTTTTTATAACTTCTATGGGCACATAGATGAAAGGATGATGGATATGCCAATGAAAGCAAGCACAAAAAGATATTCACAGCAGCCAGAGTACTGTCTCTGCATTGAGCAACCTGTTTGCAGTAGAAATGAAAGTGATGGCAAGAAAAGGGGTGTGCATATCATATTCTGCTAGTGAAAACTTGTTAATAACAAACTGTAATCAAGAGCGTTAGAATTAACAGAATCAAACGGGCAATATCAAAGGAAACAAATAAGGAAGCACAATTACCATGTGAAAATCTGATTGAACATTGATTAAAACAATATAATGCCCATCAACCTATAGAGGTTGTCTAAAAATATCATGCATAAGATGGAAATGAAAGGACCGCTTGGACCTCAGGAAAACTGAAGTAACCAAATAACATTAGTGTATGTAGGAGATAGGTTAAACATTGAATGTGAAAAAGTTCTAGAAACCTGAATTAACAGCTTTACCCATTCAACCGAGCCGGCTACTATTGATGCAGAGAGTGGAGCTAATTTATCATCATTTTGAGCATTGGGCTGCAAAACAAAATATTAAATTAAACACAAAATGCTCATAGACATCCCAAAACTCTTGGTCCTGTCACTGCTATGCAATCTTCAGAGTACGATGCAGATATAAATGGAAAAGAGACGGAAAATAGCAATTATCAATTAGCCCAAAGAGTAAATATGAATTAAAAAAAATAGCTATAAACACAGTCATAGAAATTATTCTCGAACTTTCCACCCCCAGTATCTCCCATATGTTGCCAAAAGTCTATGGAAGTCTGATGCTTATCATTTGGAATCAGAATGTTTAGATGGATGTCTATTTTCAGTTTTAAATAACTTGTCAAAACTACTCTAGCAACATCCTTACAAGTGTAGAAGTCTCAATTTTCAAGTCCAACCACCCACATTAGTACCAATTACCAATTCATGCAAATACAGAAATATGGTTCATGCATGAAGTAAACATGATAGTCAGTAAAAAGTTACTCAATATAGGTCATATAGTCTAAGCTGATGAGTTATGTGGGACCATCTATAAACACACACATGATGTGTGTATACTTAGCTGATTGGACAGTCTGTCAAACTTTTCCTCATCATCAAGAAAGCAGAATCTACCATAATGTGACACAACATCGATAAATTTGATCGCGCGAATACAACTACTCAATGAAAAGCCACAAAGAACGCAACATAAATGGAAAGATATCACATAAAACCAACCGTACTTTCTATGGAGTGCATGTTAAATTGATCTAGAAATAAATTTGCTGTTCTTTTTTTGGTCACTAATTTGCTGTTAGTGTGTATAGAAATACCTATTTAGACAAAATATCATTGTCACACAGATATTAAAATGACAGCATGAGTAATATGCTTGTTCCAATAAGAAAATATCTGCTCCTTATCTACAAACAATCATCCAAGACCAGCTCCATTCAACCGATCATCTCGATCTCCCTCTTCTAGATGGAGGTGCATAAAAGGAATTTCGCAAGCTAACATCGACATGATGTTCTAAAAGAACATTTACAGCATCTTGTTCGGCATGACCGGCAGCCTGAATTAAAGGGGTGCCAAAATTGCTTTGAGAATCAATATGGACACCTTTAGAAAGTAGAAACTTCAGCAATTCTGTGGGCCCTGCAAACAATTAGGCACAGATAAAGCATGTCTATCTTCAATTGACCATAACGCGTGCAACTGTTTGTGCATGTGTGTGTGTGGGAGGGAGGGAGGGAGGGATGGAGAGAGAGAGAGAGAAAAAGAGATTGCTAACCTAATCTAGAGAATTGAGGAATTATGATTATTAAAGAACAAAATAATCGCCCTAAAACTATAGGGAGCGACTTACCGATTGCAGCAGAGATATGTAGAGCTGTCAAACCTGCTTTCTCAGGCATGGCAGGATGGGCACCTTGCTCTATTAGATACTTTGCAGTTTCAGTATGCCCTGATCGTGCCGCATGAAAAAGAGGAGTCTGGCCTACAAGAACAGCAATTTCAGAAAATTATTTTTATCCTAGTTGTAGGTAAAACTGATCGTGAGTCCATAAAAAACAGTAACAACGAAAGCGTCATGGTCAAAAGATGCTCGGCCACATTCCAATAAAACTTAACTTTCCCATCGAGTTCAGTAAGTCAAATGCAAGTAAGTCACTATTATCTACAATTTGTTTGTGAACTCCATCATAAAAATTGCATCCGCTGCCTCAAGTCAAGATGCATAAACTCCACACATTCAGAAGCTAAGAATTATTCACAAATTCACAAAATCGACAAAGCAATAAATGGCTTTAAGTGTGATACCATCTACGTCGATCGGGTCAACATCAAGCTCTAATTCATCCAACAAGTACTTGCATACTTCAAATTTCCCCTCCATCGCAGCAAAGTGAAGCGCCCCGCGATTTCTCATGTCCTTACAAACAGCAACAGTTCTTGCCATCTTCGCAACATTTTCAACAAATGTAGTGCATAATGCAGGGGACCCAAAAGGCCGAAAATCCAAAAAAATAGGATTTAAAGCACCCAAATAAAAAGAAGAAGAAGATGCCAAGACATATACTCTTGAGTAGATGAAGATTCCCAGTGCAGGCAGCAGTTAGAAGACTCAAAACTCCTGGCCTCACTGCAAATGGGCACGCGAGCATAGATATATAAAAGCTTTGGACAACAAAATAACACGCGATATACACTATATGATAGGATTCTTGGCTCCAGCCGAGTGATCATGACAGTAAACACATCTTCATCCATTACTGTTGCGAGAGAGACAGACGGACGGACGGACGGACGGACAGACCTTCGGAGGCACGAGAAGCACCAGGGGCCATGATCGATGTCTCGCGAACCGCAGAGGCGCAAGAGTCTTGCTTTGAGACGATGAAGAATGAAACGACTGACGCTGCCAAGCGAACGAAGCAGAGAAATGGCGAAAAAAAAGGCCACGTCTTTCCAGCTTCTTGCCATGCAGGGAAACTCCGGCCCGTTTCATCAGTCGTGCGAGCCGGGTAGAGAAGGTGGTCGGGTCGGTTAAATCGGGTACCTGATTCGCCAAAAGTTTGCGGGTCAAAATTTGGATATGGAGCTTCAAGATCATCATAGAGCAAGATTGGCCTTCCTTTTGAGCCAAAATTTGTGGAGCACGGAATGGGGTTCGACCGTTGGAGGTTCATTTTAGCTACTATCTTATACAAGTATAGAAACATATATGCTGCAAATCAGGTGCATTTTTTGGCATTACTTCAACTCGAGTTCCGATTGGGATAATCAACAATGGCTGAGTTTGGGTTCGGGTTTGGGACTAGTTTAGCCTTTCGAACCGGCGATGATATTGTCACCGTTAGACCAAGCCGACCCCAAAGTCATGCCACTACATAGGCATCCAAACATTCTCTACGCTTTGTTTCGCAGTCATGCATTACCCATATATGGCGAATCAACTGGGGTTAGGGGGAAGTTTGAGAGGTTTGCGGTTAGTGGCATTGGAGAGGGTTCGCACAATCCTCATGTTGGGTTGCTATGCGCAAAGGGTTGTACGGCATTCAATGTTCGCGGCGAAGGATCAGACGACCAAAGAGATTGACCATCAGAGGAGTGTCTGTGGATTTCGAAACTGACTGAACAGAAAAACTTCTTGTTTTGGTCTATAGACAAAACATATGAAACAGCAAAAACAACACAGGCTCACATGATGATATGATACCAGAATCCAGAATCCATGAAACCTAGAAGAAGAGTAATGATGCCTCCTGTTTTTAGCTTTAATAGCCTCCACTCATGTTCCTCACTTCTTTCCTGAATTTCCAACAGAAAGTTACTATAAGGGCTTGTGGTCTCTTTTCTGGGCAGTGATGCATGGCCATCCCAAGCACCTTCCCTCCAGCTCAAGTGTCAGAATCCTCTGTCTTCGCCTTGCTCGAACTCGAACTCTTTTGGTCCTTACCGTGAAACTTCCTTGCATCTCCAAAAGCTTCTCTGTGATGACGACAAAGCACGAATGAAGAACAGGCATGGAACTTGAATTCCATGCAAGCTAGAACATGCGCAACCGCATGTTCTAGCTTATTTGCTCGATGAAAGCAGGGTGCAATATTCAAATTCTACATCTTTGATCAGGCACATCTGATGCTGAGTTTCCCGAAAATGTTTAGCTTTTAGCATTATCTTTGCGCTCTTTTGTACAATAGCCTTTCATTATTCCACAGAATCTAGCCCCAAAATTTAGCTGGACATAAAAAATTCCATTATCAGCATCACAGACTCACAATGTCTTTCTAATTAAATCCGCAAATAGGACTTCACGGAAAACCGGAGAAGTTAAGGATGATGACAAAAGAACGACATAGCCACATATTAGTTTTTAATACCAAACTGGAGCAACCAGTTCAGCCTAACCTGAAAGAATTTGCAATTTCCCAATTCTCAGGATCAAGTTTGACAGCCTCGTAGAAAGAATCAGCAGCTTCATCGAACCTCTGCAGCACGTTTCACAGTCTATATGGTCAGTAGTTAATTCAACCTACTTTAATTTCATACATTAATGGACCCAAGAAGAAGTGAAAGCATGCCTGCAGTAAACTCAGAGCTGCACCTTCCCGATAGCAAGCTTCTGGCCAATCTGGTCTAAGTGCTCTACAGGCCCTTGCATCAACTAGAGCATGTTCTGCTTCCCCCAAGCGAATCCAGCAAAGACTTCTATTGGAGAGCAAAGTTGCGTCGTTTTGGTCAAAGCCTCTTGCCTGGAATTCCAGAACCAGACGAGTAGTTCAATCCAGTCAGATTGAGAGTGCTTAACATGTTTCGTTTTTAACGTATTTATGAAAGGTGTGATATCTTCATTGTTGATAAAAGTTATCATGGAAAATGTCGAGAAGAATTGATGACAGGAGAATTTACTTGCGTATAAGCGTATAAAGCTGCATGATAGTCTTTTCTTTCAACCGCCGCATCTCCTCTTAATTTGGCTTCGGCAGCTTTCTGCTTTGCTTCTTCACTTTCCTGAGAAAGTGAGCATGTCACAACACAAAACAATGGAAAATTGTGCATTCAATATCTCCACATCAGTCTATTCACAGGAGTTGAGCAATCGCCAAGCCCATACAAATTAGTCACATCATGGATCAACGTACATCCACGTTCAAAGTGTTTTCTGCTTGATGTGCTTCACCCGCAATATGATTGATAGACCATTCAGACTAAAAGTAGCTATTTCCCCAACTGAGATCAGCTAAGGTTCAGAGTGTCTAAAATGCAGAGTGGATGATATGTCATGAAGGAAGAAGGAATAAAAGACAAAGAAAGACCAGTAGTGCAACCCTATGGTTATAGGAGACCATCTGGTTCTCCTCCATTTCTCCTAATGAAGCATCAACATTGTCACACAAAGCTGAGAAAATATTTGATCACCTACTGAAAGATGGGCTCGGAGGAAACCTTATCAATTGCTTATAGCCAACACTGCTCCATTCTTTTTCAGAATCCTCCAAACAATATCTCAAGACCATGACATATACTTTCTCCACATCTATAGAGAATATATGCGAATACTTCTATTGATTCTTACTCTCTCTGTGCATTTCATATAAAAAAATGTCCATTCAATGTAGGTAGAGCAATTTAAGGAAAAAAATTAATGATCAGCAATAAGTAAAACTACAACGAATTGTTACCTCAGAGAGCTTTTCCTTTTTCAATAAGATGTCCTCCTTACGATTTTCCTTTGCTTTGCCAATTTCTTCCTGCAAATCGAACTTTTGAGCTAGAACACAATAAAGATCAACTAGTGTTCTCATAAAAGAGAATAAGGGAACACACGAGGTACCCAGCATATTTTCAATGAACTGACATAGGTAGATTATATTAAGGAAAAGAAGTTGATGATGAAAATTAAGTAAAACTACAGCGAACTGTTACCTCGGAGAGCTTTTGCTTTGTCAACAAGTTGTCCTTCTCCTTACTTGTTTCCTCTGCTTCCCCGACCTCTTCCTGTAAATTTAACTTTTGAGCTAGAACATGATACAAGAAGCACAAATATTCCAATTTTAAAACAAATAAAAGCGAGATACACCAAAAACAAAGGCTAGAATATCCATCAAAATTTGGAAATTTTAAAAAAAATTCACATGAAGCAAGAGGAGGTAAAAAAAAGCCATACACGGCAGAGACCTCAATACCTGCGTATCACCACATTCTGCCTGCATGTGCTCCATGATTCCATCCACACTCCATGGAATAGTTTTAATTTTTGAAGTCTTTGGCAAAAGAATCTCCACGGCTGCACGATTGCCTTTTTGTGCTGCAAGTTGTATGGGTGGTTTCCCATTCTGTGATGACAAGAGCAAATCATGATCTTTAATGAATGATCCACTGCCAGTAAGAGCAACAAAAATACTCTTGAAGTTCCAAAAAGACCTTCCATGAATCTATTTCAATAAAGGTGAAGAAAGTGATAAACGAGATTAGCGATTAGGAGTTTAAGTTAAGTGTTTATAGTGGCTTTTCTTATTTTTTTCTTGTATTGTTTGAATTCTGCCTTCATTCAATGCCAAAGACCTATTCAAAATATATAAAGAGTAGTCATTTAGAAATTTTTCATAATTTTTAGATCTTAGATATCTTTTGTGTTTTCAGATTCTGAAGTGAAAGTAAAATGTGATTGCTTTTATTTTACACAAATCACACGTTAATAATTTGGGATGAAGCATGGACCACGCAAAAATATTAAGCAATCATCAATCAAAAGAACTGTTCCTTTTTTCTGCAAGTTACTGCATTTGCATTTAAACAAGCTTTCGGAAGAAGGGGGGAGAGAAAGTAGTTATATGAACATAAAATTAAAACTTAAGGAGTACTAAAGCTTTAAATTTTGACCTCGTCTCTGACATTGGGATCAGCTCCAGCTTCTAGTAAGCAACTTATGATATCGGGTTTCCCCATGAAAGCAGCAACATGCAGAGGTGTTCCTCCTCCAGGAAAAGTAACATTCACCTTTGCACCCCACTGTATGGACATCAAAATTATGTGCACAAGGGAGTTACAACGCTATACGTAAGCACATAAAAGCAAGCAAGGGCATTAGTCGGATATCCAAGCAGCCACAGGCCCACAGTACTGTTTTCAAATCGAGTATAAATGGTACTTTAAACAATAACCCTTCTGTAAATCTTCAGGATTAAATTGAGTCTTCAATGGAACTTGAATGTTAACAAGAAAGGGATGTTGATTCCATTATGCGCTACTATAATCGGAGTTTAATTCATAGAATAGCACACAGCATTAAGAAGGCAAGACTAAAGGATACGAATAAGCAAACATAAATATCAGTGGAGACTCTGACTGACTGAAACTTGAGTAGGGCAATATAGTGTCAACTAACCTACAAATAATTGTTAAAAGATACAATGGGTATGATGGAGACAGAAAGGCAGCTTGGGGTACAAGAAAATTAAAGTAATCAAACAACTGTATATTCAGGATGCTATTAACTCTTAAATGTCTAAAAGTTATACAAACCTGAATCAACAGCTTTAAGCATTCAAGCGATTTGATAGTGACAGATGCAAGGAGCGGAGTTAAACGATCAACAGTTTCCGCATTAGGCTGTAAAACAAAAATAACAAAATTAAATACCAACTGCTCCGCCACATCCCAAAACTCCTTTTCTGTCACTGCTAAGGAATAATCTCAGCATGACGCTGATCTAAATGGAGAAGAGACATGAATAGCAATTTAACAATGTGTTAGGCAAACAAAGAAATGATTCTCAAATGTTCCACCGTTGGTTTCTCTCTTTTGTTGACAAAAATGTATGCAAGCTGTTCTTTGCCATCTCGAATCATAGTGCTGTCACGGGTGTCTGTTCGTTAAAATCCTCAATTACATCCAATTTTCAAGATCTTGTCAAAACTGCTCCAGCAATATCATAGCAATTATATGTCATATCTCAACTTTCAATCCATCCATCCACTTCATCGTTAATGCATCCAAAGATGACGATGTGTCCATGATGAAAATATGTTTGCCGACAAGATGTTTACTTGGAATACAGCACATGCTCTAAGTTGATTAAACAAGTCTCAGATTTTTCCCTATCATCAAACAAATTAAGGAGAATCCACCGTAATCTGGAGGGAATTTGACAATGGAAATACAACTGCTCAATGAAAAGCCACTTCAACCACTACTGACCAAACATAAATACAATGGTATTACATAAAATGTTAGAACATATAAAAAATATCTAATTTAGATAATTTTAATACATGCAGTAAAATAAGAACATGAAAGCTAACTCCGTGCATTGCGCTGGGCCACACGCTTATTACTATAGCATCATCACAGAACAGCTCAATTCCTCCAACCAGGCAACCATTTCCACCTTTCTCTTTCTTCCTCTCTTTATCTCTCTATGATCGATTACAGAAGAATATATTTCTTGCCTTTTGTTCATGAAGACAAGTGCACATGCAGAAGGCATATGCACGAAGTTGCTACTCTCTCTCTCTCTCTCTCTGTCTCTCTCTCTCTCTATGAATACAGATATTCAAGCTCACAAAAGTCTGCGATGAAAGAGAGAAAATTCAAGAGATTACGTATTTCTCAAGCTTACGTTAGCATGATGTTCTAGGAGAAATTTTGCAGCATCTAGCTGAGCACAGCCAGCAGAATAAAATAAAGGACTGCCAGAAGAGCTTTGACAATCAATGTTGACCCCTTTAGAAAGTAGAAAGTTCATCATTTCGATGTTCCCTGCAAAGAAATAAGCACAGATAAGCATGTCCATCTTCCGTTGACCATGACAAGATGCAATGTGCACACGCTCATGTTTTTCATGCATGTGCGTGCTTGCGTGTGTGTGTGAGAGACAGAGAGAGTTCGCTAACTTAATATAAAAAATCATAATTGTTAGCTTTATCTGGGAAAGCAATTGCGGCAATTGGTAAACGTAGATGCTTACCAAATGTTACAGAATTTGACTTACCTGACCCAGCAAAGTAATGCAATACTGTCAGACCATCGTTGTTGGGTATAGCAGAATCGGCACCTCGATCTATCAGATACTTTGTTGTTTCAATATGCCTCGATCCAGCAGCAAGATGAAGAGGAGTCTCACCTGAAAAAGAAACAAATTTTCAGAAAATTATTCGTCTCCTACTTGCAGGTATTAGTGATAGTGAACCATAGCAGGGTAGCCACAACCCGATAAAAAGCAGTAGCCCGAAAAGACTGAAGTTTCGCAAAACCAGGCTTCCATGCTTATACACAAATCTCAAAAACCGACAGAGCCAAATAGATATAGCTAAAAGCGGGGATACCCTCAACATCTTTCGGGTCCACATCAAGCTTCAACTCCTCCAACAAGTACTTGCACACTTCGATTTTGCCCTCCATCGCGGCGAAATGAAGCGCCCCATGTCCCTTGTCATCCTTGGCATCCGCAATAGTTCTTGCCATCCCCCTCCCATCGTTGAGTTGCGAAGCCAACTCTGTTTCACCACATTATTCGACGGATGCAGCGCATTATGTAGCAATCCCAAAGCGAAAGAAACCAAAACTCAGGCTGAAAGGGCGGGAAAAGAAGGAAAGAAAATGGCGCAAGAAAAAAGAAGCCAAGATGTACCCTTAAGTAAGCTAAGATTTCCAGCACCAACTGCACCCAGAAAACGCAGGACTTTCGGGCACACTGCAAAATTCGGTTCGAGAACAGAGTTAATGAACATTTTACCATCATTAAAAGGCACGCTGCAGTCACTGCAAACTAAAATGGTGAAAATATTCTCAGTTTCCTGTTCAAACGGGTGATAATACGCACTCCTCTTTCTCCCATCCATCACACACACACACAGAGGGAGAGAGAGACCTTTGAGGGGAGGGGACGCAGGAGACGCCATGGTCGACGCTTTCACAGAGCTCGAAGAGTAATGAAGTATGATCGGTCGATGTGGGTGTGACAGGAATCTTGAAAGGGCATTGCCTTTTTAACGGCATCTGGTGGCCAAACCCCGCGCAAAATCTCAGTGCGGAGAGCGGGCCGGGGCTAATGCTGGTAAGTGACAGTTGTGGTAGTTAACAGTTAGACGTTGCTGACTGAGTTTCTTGTTTAACTGAATACCAGGGACGAAAAAGTACATTGAAAGTCTTAGATTTATACGTATAGAGCGCAATCAAGTCTTTAATCTCTCTTTTTTTATGCGCTTTGTAGCATAAGTTTAGGACCCGATTATACTTTCTAATAAAGATTTACCACTTAAGCAAAACAATCAAAAAAAAATTTATTTATTTACAACATAAATTTATTTCTCGCAAGATTTAGTACTCTGTGGCGTAATTCATTCAAATTTTAGAGGGAGTTGTTTTTTGGCTTGTCTTGGCTTACAATTCACTTTGTCAAAAACAACACTTAAATTTTTCACACAAGAAATAGAATTTAATTTATTCGAAATTTGAGAAGACTTCAAAAGGCACAATCAAAATGCTAAAAGGTGAAATCAAAATAGCTACACACCAAATTGTCTTACACAACCTGTTTTAGTAATGAAATGAAATGACCCACATAAAACTGTTGCTTGCTGAATTGGTCACGTTTCCGTAAGGTTAACAGATTGAGGACGGAAATGGAACTGGATAAATAATGAAAATATCATCAGATGTAGACTCCTATTTCCTTCATTCCTTGCTGGGTTGTATGATGAATTATTAAACAACAGATAAGTGGATGTATGGAAGTGGATGAGCATTCTCTTTTAGTCATTCATGGCTGCAAGCGGCCAAGCCGGGCCGGGCCAGGTAGGGAAGGTGGTTGGGTCAGTTAAATCGGGTACCCGATTCGCCAAAACTTTGTGGGTCAAAATTCGGATATGGAGCTTCAAGATCATCATAGAGCAAGATTGACCTTCCTTTTGAGCCAAAATTTGCAGAGCACGGAACGGGGTTTGGCCGTTTGAGGTTCATTTTAGCTACTATCTTAAACAAGTATAGAAACATAAATACTGCAAGTCGGGTGCATTTTTTGGCATTACTTTGACTCAAGTTCCGATCCGGATAATCAACAATAATGAAGTTCGGGTTCAGGTTCGGGTTCAGGTTCGTGTTCGTGTTCGTGTTTGGGACTAGTTTAGCCTTTCGAACCGGCGATGATTTTGTCCCCGTTAGACCAAGCTAGCCCCAAGTCGGGCTGCTACATAGGCATCCAAACATTCTCTACGCTATGTTTCGTGGCCATGCATTGCCCATTTATGGCGACTAAATTGTGGTTAGGGGGAAGTTTGAGAGGCCACGGCTAGCGGCATTGGAGAGGGTCGCACAATCCTCGTCTTGGGTTGCCATGCACAAAGAGCTGTATGACGTTTGTATTGGGTTCATCAACGAAAAACAACGCAGCGGAATATAGAACCCTAGACAGGATCCATGTGTATATTGATATCAAAATGGAATTTCGATACGTACCTTTTGCAGATCGAAGATAAATCAGCAACTGATTGTGTCTGGATGAGCGCCCCAAGTGTTGCGCCTCTACCGGTATCCACACACACGAACGGAATTCTCCAACGATCCACGTGCTAGCGAAAGATCTTGAAGTTCCTTTTTCTTGAACGCCTTTTGCTTTTCGATACTCTATCGAAAAACCCTAGACAGAGAACGATTCTCTATCTATTTATACAGCCTCATTATCTAGCGGAATTAAAAGAAGTGGGCCGGGCTATTTGGGCCCGCCAAACCGTCCACCTTCAATCGTACGTTTAATCGTTATCTCATAACGCGCACGACCGCATAGATAATTTAAATATGAGAATAAATTAAAATCTACTTCTTAAGTAGATCAAGGCGCATAGACAATATTAAATCCGTTCGCTATTGTGTGCGACCCTGTAGGTTCACTAAACATTAGCAGTGTGCCCAAAACTCTTTTGGCCCACAAGTCATAAGCGGTCTCTAGCAAGACATTATGACTACCTAAGTATAGTGAAGATCGGTTTTCCGACACAACCTAATCCACAACTAATATTAGAGTATCAACCTTGATTCTTAGGGCAGACCACTAACAATCTCCCACTTGCACTAGAACCAATCATATAAACTAAGTCTATTTGTCACTTGATTTCCGAGTTAAGCATAAGGCAGGACAAGTGTCATCCTTATATAGCGTAAACTCATTTTCCCGATACCGCAGTTAGACTGTCAAAACAAGTAGTTGACTCTTCAACTCACTTGAGCATGGTCATGCATTTCACAGTCTCAACTCTACGGGAGGCCAGGAAATCATACCCTCGTTATATGAGAGGGACAAATCCCATCTTGTCTACTCACATCACTCAGCACGCTTCATGACATACCCGGCCATTACCTTTATAATCACCTGTTACGGCTGACGTTTGATAATGTTAAAGCACGCCAATCCACGTCTAGGAAACCATGGCAGACTCGGGTCAAAGGACTATACTCTATAGCTGTGATGAGAAATACTAATGACATTATATAACAATCCTACAGTATTCTCATAGCCGGTCGGTCCAATACAATGTTCTCCAACATGTATTCCATGTGATCAACTTTATATCTCTATATTCATGACCCGTGAAACTTGATCATCAGTTGACTCACATGCTAGTCTCAAACGCCATTTGCGTCCCAATGCACAATGGCAATTGACTAGGGACATTTAGAATATTAATATCCACTCTATTAATAGAGTTTCATGATCAAATCACGTATTTGATTATCTATTAAGGATATTCAATATTCAGGGGATAAAGATTTCGCATTCAATTATATACTCAAATTAAATCGAAATCAAATATAATATATATATTTTATTAATGAACAATGAAAATGTATATCACATATACTCCCACTCACATCAAGACCAATCACTAATGTGTCTAAGGCCTAAAGCGTTACAATGACGCTCATACTTAGGTTGTGGAAGAGCCTTCGTCAACGGATCAGCTGTATTCAACTCCGTTGCAACTTTGCACAACTTGACATCACCTCTTTCAATGAATTCTCGAATGAGATGATACTTCCTGAGTATGTGTTTGGTCTTCTGGTGAGACCTAGGCTCTTTACCCAAAGCTATGGCCCCATTACTGTCACAATAGAGGTCCACTGGAATCGAACTAGTGGGACTGATTCCCAGTTCTTCTATGAACTTTCGAATCCAAACAACTTCCTTTGATGCTTCTGAAGCAGCAATATACTCAGCTTCTGTCGTAGAATCTGCAAGAGTTTCCTGCTTGGAACTTTTCCAGCACACCGCTCCACCATTCACGCAAAAGACAAAACCTGACTGCGATCGAATGTCGTCTTTGTCGGTTTGGAAACTAGCATCAGTGTAACCATTTACAGTGATCTGTTCCTCACCTCCATAGACTAAGAATAAATCCTTAGTTCTTCTCAAGTACTTAAGGATATTCTTAATAGCAATCCAGTGAGGTTCCCCTGGATCTGACTGGTATCTACTTGTCATGCTCAATGCATAAGCAACGTCAGGACGAGTGCATAACATAGCATACATGATGGATCCCACAGTTGATGCATAAGGAATCCTACTCATGCGGTCTCGCTCATCTTGTGTTGAAGGACACTGAGTCTTGCTAAGACTTATGTCATGTGTCATCGGGAGAAAACCTTTCTTGGAATCTTGCATATTAAACCTATTGATGACTTTGTCAACATATGTACTTTGACTCAGTCCAATAAGTCTCTTAGATCTATCTCTATAGATCCTGATCCCCAAGATATAGTTTGCTTCTCCCATGTCCTTCATGGAGAAAAATTTTCCTAGCGATGTCTTAACTGACTAAAGCATAGGAATGTCGTTTCCAATGAGTAGTATGTCATCCACATACAACACTAGAAACACAATTGCACTCCCACTAGACTTCTTGTATACACAAGCTTCTTCTTTGTTTCTAATGAAGTCAAACTCTTTGACAGTTTCATCGAAACGAATATTCCAGCTCCGTGATGCCTGCTTCAATCCATAAATAGAACGTTGAAGCTTGCATATCTTCCCAGTGTTATCTAGTGTTGTAAAGCCTTCAGGTTGTGTCATATACACATCCTCCTCTAGTTTTTGATTAAGGAAAGCTGTCTTTACATCCATTTGCCATATCTCATGGTCATAATATGCAGCAAACGCTAGGATAATCCGAATGGACTTAAGCATGGCCACTGGCGAAAAGGTCTCGTCATAGTCAATACCATGAGTTTGTTTGAAACCTTTAGCTACTAGCTGTGCTTTTATAGATATGAACATTTCCATCCATATCAGTTTTCTTCTTGAAAACCCACTTGCACCCTATAGGTTTGACACCTTCGGGTGGATCAATCAAAGTCCAAACTTTGTTTTGATACATTGAGTCCATTTCGGATTTCAATGCCTGAAGCCATTTATCAGAGTCTGAGCCCATCTAGGTTCGTCATTTTCTATTAACAATAGATGACGATGTTCTGTCACGTGAAAACCATATCTCATAGGCTCACGATGTGTTCTTTCAGACCTACGAACTATAGGTGCCACTGGAGTAGACTCTACAACTCTTTGTAGATCTAATTGAGGTTCCTCATGAACTGGAACACCCTCTTGTGGCACGATAACTTCTTCGAGGTTTACCTTACTCCCACTGGTTCCTTTAGTAAGAAACTCTTTCTCTAAAAAGACACCATTTCGAGCAACAAACACTTTGTTCTCTCGATGGATTGTACGATAATATCCTTTCGTTTCTTTAGGATATCCCACAAAGAAGCATTTATCGATTTGGGTCCAAGCTTATCAGAAAGTAAACGTTTTACATAAGCTTCGCAACCCCAAATCTTTAGAAAAGACATACTAGGAACTTTTCCTGTCCACATCTTATATGGTGTCTTCTCTACAGCTTTTGATGGATTTCTATTTAGTGTAAACGCAGCTGTCTCGAGTGCATATCCCCAGAAAGATAATGGAAGATCTGAATGACTCATCATTGATCGAACCATGTCTAACAAAGTTCGATTTCTCCTCTCAGAGACACCATTCCACTGTGGTGTTCCAGGAGAAGAGAGCTGTGAAACAATTCCACACTCTTTGAGATGGTCATTGAACTCTTGGCTTAAATATTCTCCTCCTCGATCAGATCGAAGAGCCTTGATACTCATGCCAAGTTGATTCTGTACTTCATTCTGAAATTCCTTGAACTTTTCAAAGGAGTCGGATTTATGTTTCATCAAGTAAACATATCCATATCTACTGAAATCATCAGTAAATGTAATGAAGTACTGATAACCTCCTCTGGCTGTAGAACTTAGTGGTCTACACACATCAGTATGTATAAGGGCCAATAATTCTTTTTTTCTCTCACTTTGATTAGTAAAAGGAGCTTTTGTCATTTTTCCAACTAAACAAGATTCACATGTATCAAATGATTCAAAATCAAATGAATTTAATAGTCCATCGCTATGAAGCTTGTGAATTCGTTTCTCGTTTATGTGGCCTAATCGACAATGCCATACGTAGGTTGGATTCAAATCATTAGATTTAAACCTTTTTGTATTTATATTATAGATTGGCACATCAAGATTTAGAACATATATCCCATCCACAATATGGGCGCTACCATAAAATAATCCATTAAGATAAAACGAACAACTATTGTTCTTTATATCAAAACAGAAACCTTCCTTGTCTAAACAAGAAACAGAAATAATATTCATGTGTATAGCAGGTACATAGTAGCAATTATTCAGTCCTAAAATCATGCCAGAAGGTAAAGCTACATCATATGTTCTTACGGCTAATGCAGCAACTCTTGCTCCATTCCCAACGCGTAGCTCCACTTCACCTTTTGTAAGTGTTCTACTTCGTTTTAGTCCCTGCACATTCGTACAAATGTGAGTACCACAACCGGTATCCAATACCCATGAAGTAGAACTAGTAGTAACATTTACTTCTATAACATAAATACCTGAATCGGAAGTCTCACTTCCCTTTTTCTTCAGATCCTCCAAATATTTCTTGCAATTCCTCTTCCAATGTCCATTCTCCCCACAATGGAAGCATACAGCATCAGCAGTCGGACCCGGTTTGGTCTTGGATTTGGGTTTGGGCTTAGTGCCCTTGCCCTTACCCTTGACCTTACCTGGCTTCTTAAAGCCTTTCCCCTTTTGAACCATGAGAACATTAGGGGTAGGGTCCTTCTTGATATTCTGCTCAGCAGTTTTGAGCATCCCATGCAGTTCAGTCAAAGACTTGTTCAGATTATGCATGTTATAGTTCATAACAAACGTGTCATAATCTTGAGGCAATGACTGAAGAATAATGTCAGTAGCCAACTCTTGGTTAATGGGAGAGCCCAGTCGTTCCAGGTTTTCAATATAACCTATCATCTTTATGACATGTGGGCTAACTGAGCTCCCACTTGCTAGCTTACACTCAATTAAGGTCTTTACCGTTTGGTATCTTTCAGTGCGTGCCTGCTCCTGAAACAAATTTTTCAGGTTCATGATCATATCATAAGCATCCACGTTCTCAAACTGCTTCTGAAGGTCTGAGTTCATGGTAGCTAACATTAGACATGATGCATCCGATGCATCATCTTTATGCTTCTAATAAGCATTCCTTTCAGCATGGGGAGCATTGGAAGGAGGTGCCTTCTGAGGGAGTGGTTTCTCCAGGACATAATCCTTTTTCTCTTGCTTGAGAACAATTCTCAAGCTTCTATACCAGTCCAAAAAATTCGAACCATTCAATTTGTCCTTCTCAAGGACAGATCGCAGTGAAAAGTGTAATGCAGAGCTATTTTCCATTATCTACAACAAATATGCAAAGTGAATTGTTCATTAATATTATAAATAATAAACTCCAACTATACTTTTATAACATGTGTCCCAATAAGTATAGTGGACCAAGATCTATATTTTACCAAGACTCGAATAAACTTTGGCTTACCGCTCAAGACTAAATTATTTAGGTAGACAACTATTTGTCAATTGTATCGAATACAACTCTTGGTTATTGGGGTTGACATCTCATATCTTATCCCCAAACACTATGTCTCAAGGCCCAAAACCGTTTTGATAGCCTCGTTAAGTAAACCAATCTTGACTTATGGATAACCATTATCCATCCTATTTTACTCAAATAGTTAAAGATACCCTGCTTTGGCAAACCCATCTATTGACGATTCAAGTCTTAATAGGTGTATGATTGGAAAGGCATCATATTATTACTTAATTTTATTAGGGACTCTTAATGTTTATTTAGCGATGAATGTATGCATGTGATAAACATAAACGAAACATCACTTATAATAATAGAGGTACATCAATCATACGGGAACGACCAATTCCATGCAGGGGTCAAGGGGGCTGCGCCCCCTTGCGGGGTCGAGGGGCAGCACCCCCTTGCGGGATCAAGGGGCAGAGCCCCTTTCGATACGTACCTTTTGCAGATCGAAGATAAATCAGCAACTGATTGTGTCTGGATGAGCGCCCCAAGTGTTGCGCCTCTACCGGTATCCACACACACGAACGGAATTCTCCAACGATCCACGTGCTAGCGAAAGATCTTGAAGTTCCTTTTTCTTGAACGCCTTTTGCTTTTCGATACTCTATCGAAAAACCCTAGACAGAGAACGATTCTCTATCTATTTATACAGCCTCATTATCTAGCGGAATTAAAAGAAGTGGGACGGGCTATTTGGGCCCGCCAAACCGTCCACCTTCAATCGTACGTTTAATCGTTATCTCATAACGCGCACGACCGCATAGATAATTTAAATAGGAGAATAAATTAAAATCTACTTCTTAAGTAGATCAAGGCGCATAGACAATATTAAGTCCGTTCGCTATTGTGTGCGACCCTGTAGGTTCACTAAACATTAGCAGTGTGCCCAAAACTCTTTTGGCCCACAAGTCATAAGCGGTCTCTAGCAAGACATTATGACTACCTAAGTATAGTGAAGATCGGTTTTCCGACACAACCTAATCCACAACTAATATTAGTGTATCAACCTTGATTGATTCTTAGGGCAGACCACTAACAGTTTGATGTTCGCAGCGAAGGATCGGACAACCGAAGAGATCGACCATCAGAGGAGTGTCTGTGGATTTCGACACTGACTGAACAGAAAAACTTCTTGTTTTGGTCTATAGACAAAACATATGAAACAGCAAAAACAACACAGGCTCACATGATGATATGATACCAGAATCCAGAATCCATGAAACCTAGAAGAAGAGTAATGATGCCTCCTGTTTTTAGCTTTAATAGCCTCCACTCATGTTCCTCACTTCTTTCCTGAATTTCTAACTGAAAGTTACTATGAGGGCTTGTGGTCTCTTTTCCTGGGCAGTGATGTATGGCCATCCCAAGCACCTTCCCTCCAGCTCAAGCGTCAAGATCATCCGTCTTCTTCGCCTTGCTCAAAGTCAAACTCTTTTGGTCCTTACCGCGGACCTTCTTTGCATCTCGGACAGCTTCTCTGTGAAGACGACAAAGCACGAATGAAGAACGGGCATAGAACTCGAATTCCATGCAAGATACGATTTATTTAGCATCTTAAAGTTAAGTGCGCACAACCGCATGTTCTAGCTTAATTGCTCAGTGAAAGCAGGGTGCAATATTCAAATTCTACATATTTGATCAGGCACATCTGATCCTGAGTTTCTCGAAAATGTTTAGCTTTTAGCATTTCTCATTATCAGCGTCACAGACTCACAATGTCTTTCTAATTAAATCCACAACTAGGACTTCACAGAAAACCAGAGAAGTTAACGATGATGACATAAGAACGAAGTAGCCACATATTAGTTTTTAATACCAAACTGGAGCGACCTGTTCGGCCTAACCTGAAAGCATTTACAAGTTCCCAATTCTCAGGGTCAAGTTTGACAGCCTCATGGAAAGAATCCGCAGCTTCATTGAACCTCTGCAGCATGTTCCACAGTCTATACGGTCAGTAGTTAATTCAACCTACTTTAATTCCATACATTAACGGACCAAAGAAGAAGTGAAAGCATGCCTGCAGTAAACGCAGAGCTGCACCTTCCCGATAGCAAGCTTCTGGCCAATCTAGTCTAAGTGCTTTACAGGCCCTTGCATCAACTAGAGCATGTTCTGCTTCCCCCAAGCGAATCCAGCAAAGACTTCTATTGGAGAGCAAAGTTGCGTCGTTTTGGTCAAAGCCTCTTGCCTGGAATTCCAGAACCAGACGAGTAGTTCAATCCAGTCAGATTGAGAGTGCTTAACATGTTTCGTTTTTAACGTATTTATGAAAGGTGTGATATCTTCATTGTTGATAAAAGTTAACATGGAAAATGTCGAGAAGAATTGATGACAGGAGAATTTACTTGCGTATAAGCGTATAAAGCTGCATGATAGTCTTTTCTTTTAACCGCCGCATCTCCTCTTAATTTGGCTTCGGCAGCTTTCTGCTTTGCTTCTTCACTTTCCTGAGAAAGTGAGCATGTCACAACACAAAACAATGGAAAGTTGTGCATTCAATATCTCCACATCAGTCTATTCACAGGAGTCGAGCAATCTCCAAGCCCATGCAGATTAGTCACATCAAGGATCAATGTATATTTACATTCGAAGTGTTTTCTGCTTGATGTGCTTCACCCGCAGTATGATTGATAGACCATTCAGACTAAAAGTAGCAACTTCCCCAACTGAGATCAGCTAAGGTTCAGAGTGTCTAAAATGCAGAGTGGATGATATGTCATTAAGGAAGAAGGATCAAAAGACAAAGAAAGACCATTGGCGCAACCCTATGGTTACAGGAGACCATCTGTTTCTCCTCCATACCTCCTAAGGAAGCATCAACATCATCACACATATCCTTTATCGCTTGCATATAGCCAACACTGCTCCGTTCTTTTTGAGAATCCTCTAAACAATTTCTCTCGAGACCATGACATATACTTTCTCCACATCTATAGAGAATAGATGCAAATCTTTCTATTAACTCTTACTCCCTCTGTGCATTTCGTATAAAAAATGTCCAATCAATGTAGGTAGAGCAATTTAAGGAAAAAAGTTCATGATCAGCAATAAGTAAAACTACAACGAACTGTTACCTCAGAGAGCTTTTCCTTTGTCAATAAGATGTCCTCCTGACGAGTTTCCTTTGCTTTGCCAATTTCTTCCTGGAAATTGAACTTTTGAGCTAGAACACAATAATGAAGCACTAGAAGGCCAATCTCAATGTAAACAATGCGAGAACACTCGTAATTTCACTACCAAATATTATCCCAACTGGAGACTGCCTTCAGATGGGACTAATTTAAGAGTTCAGAAATTCAAAGATCAACTAGTCTTCTTATAAAAGAGAATAAGGGAACACACAAGGTAACCAGTATTTTTTCAACGAACTGACTTAGGTAGATTATATTAAGGAAAAGAAATTGATGATGAAAATTAAGTAAAACTACAGCAAAATGTTACCTCAGAGAGCTTTTGGTTTGTCAACAAGTCGTCCTTCTCCTTACTTGTTTCCTCTGCTTCCCCGACTTCTTCCTGTAAATTTAACTTTTGAGCTAGAACACAATACAAGACACACAAATATTCCAATTTTAAAACAAATAAAAGCAAGATACACCAAAAACAAAGACCAGAATATCCATCGAAATTTGGAAATTTCAAACAAAATTCACATGAAGCAAGAGATAAAAAAAGCCATACACGGCAGAGACCTTAATACCTGCTTATCACCACATTCAGCCTGCATATGCATCATGATTCCATCCACACTCCATGGAATAGTTTTAATATTTGAAGTCTTTGGAAAAAGAATCTCCACGGCTGCACGATGGCCTCTTTGTGCTGCAAGTTGTATGGGTGTTTTCCCATTCTGTGATGACGAGCAAATCATGATCTTTAATGAATGATCCACTGCCAGTAAGAGTGACAAGAAGTCCCCAAAAGACCTTCCATGAATCTATTTCAATAAAGGTGAAGGAAATAATAAACGAGATTAGCCATTAGGAATTTAAGTTAAGTGTTTAGAGTGGCTTTTCTTTTTCCTTTCTTGTATTGTTTGAATTCTACCTTCATTCAATGTCAAAGACCTTTTCAAAACATATAAAGTTTAGTCATTTACAAATTTTTCATGATTTTTTTATCTTAAATATCTTTTGTGTTTTCATATTTTGAAGTGAAATCATAATGTGATTGTTTTTAGTTTACACAAATTACACATTAACAATTTGTGATGAAGCATGGATCACGCAAAAATATGAAGCAATCATCAATCAAAAGAACTGTTCCTTTTTTCTGCAAGTTACTGCATTTGCATTTAAACAAGCTTTCGGAAGAAGAGGGGAGAGAAAGTAGTTATATGAACATGAAATCAAAACTTAAGGAGTACTAAAGCTTTAAAGTTCGACCTCGTCTCTGACATTGGGATCAGCTCCAGCTTCTAGTAAGCAACTTATGATATCGAGCTTCCCCATGAAAGCAGCAACATGCAGAGGTGTTCCTCCTCCAGGAAAAGTAACATTCACCTTTGCACCCCACTGTATGGACATCAACATTATGTGCACAAGGGAGTTACAACGCTATACGTAAGCACATAAAAGCAAGCAAGGGCATTAGTTGGAGTTCCAAGCAGCCACGGTACTGTTTTCAAATCGAGTATAAATGGTACTTTTAAACAATAAAAACAGGTAAACGGACATAACCCTTCTGTAAATCTTCATGATTAAATTGAGTCTTCCATGGAACTTGAATGTTAGCAAGAAAGGGATGTTGATTCCATTATGCGCTACTATAGTCAGAGTTTAATTCATAGAATAGCACACAGCATTAAGAGGGCACGACTAAAGGATACGAATAAGCAAGCAGAAATATCAGTGGAGACTCTTGACTGACTGAAACTTGAGTAGAGCAATATAGTGTCAACTAACCTATTCTAATTGTTAAAAGATACAATGGGTATGATGGAGACGGAAAGGCAGCTTGGGGTACAAGAAAATTAAAGTAATCAAACAACTGTATATTCAGGATGATATTAACTCTTAAATGTCTAAAAGTTATACAAACCCGAATCAACAGCTTTAAGCATTCAAGCGATTTGATAGTGACGGATGCAAAGACCGGAGTTAAACGATCAACAGTTTCCGCATTAGGCTGTAAAACAAAAATAACAAAATTAGATACCAACTGCTCCGCCACATCCCAAAACTCCTTTTCTGTCACTGGTACGGAATAATCTCAGCATGACGCTGATCTAAATGGAGAAGAGACATGAATAGCAATTTAACAAAGTGATAGGCAAACAAAGAAATGATTCTCAAATGTTCCACCGTTGGTTTCTCTCTTTTGTTGCCAAAAATGTATGCAAGCTGTTCCTTGCTATCTCGAATCAAAGTGCAGTCATGGGTGTCTGTTCGTTAAAATCATCATTTGCATCCAATTTTCAAGATCTTGTCAACACTACTCCAGCAATATCATAGCAATCATAATGTAACATCTCAACTTTCAATCCACCCATCCACTTCATCATTAATGCATCCAAAGATGACGATGTGTCCATGATGAAAATATGTTTGTCGATAAAGACGTTTACTTGGAATACAGCACATGCTCTAATTTGGTTAAACAAGTCTCAGATTTTTCCCTATCATCAAACAAATTAAGGAGAATCCACCGTAATCTGGAGGGAATTTGACAATGGAAATACAATACTCAAAGAAAAGCCACTACAACCACTACTGACCAACATAAATACAATGGTATTACATATAAAATGTCAGTGCATATAAAAAATACCTAATTTAGATAATTTCACTACATGCAGTAATTTTTGAAAATAAAAGCTAACTCCGTGCATTGCGCTGGGCCACATGCTTATTACTATAGCATCATCACAGAACAGCTCAATTCCTCCAGCCAGGCAACCATTTCCACCTTTCTCTTTCTTCCTCTCTTTATCTCTCTATCATTGATTACAGAAGAATATATATCTTGCCTTTTGTTTATAAAGACTGGTGCACATGCAGAAGGCATATGCACGAAGTTGCTACTCTCTCTGTGTGTGTGTCTCTCTCTCTCTATGAATACAGCTTTTCAAGCTCACAAAAGTCCGCCATGAAAGAGAGAAAATTCAAGAGATTACGGATTTCTCAAGCTTACGTTAGCATGATGTTCTAAGAGAAATTTTACAGCATCTAGCTGAGCACAGCCAGCAGAAAAAAATAAAGGGCTGCCCAAGGAGCTTTGATAATCGATGTTGACCCCTTTAGAAAGTAGAAAGTTCATCAATTCGAGGTTCCCTGCAAAGAAAGAAGCACAGATAAGCATGTCCATCTTCAGTTGACCACGACAAGATGCAATGCGCAAGCGCTAATGTTTTTGTGCGCACGCGCGAGCATGCGTGTGTGTGTGTGTCTGTGTCTGTGTGTGTGTGTGTGTGTGAGAGAGAGAGAGAGAGAGAGAGAAAGAGATAGCTAACTCAATATGAAAAATCATAATTGTTAGCTTTATCTGGGAATGCAATTGTGGCAATTGGTAAACGTAGATGCTTACCAAATGTACAGAAATTGACTTACCTGACCCAGCAAAGTAATGCAATACTGTCAGACCACCATCATTAGGTATGGTAGAATCGGCACGTCGATCTATTAGATACTTTGTTGTTTCAATGTGCGCCGATCCAGCAGCAAGATGAAGAGGAGTGTCACCTGACAAAGAAACAAATTTTCAGAAAATTATTCGTCTCCTACTTGCAGGTATTAGTGATAGTGAACCATAGCAGGGTAGCCACGACCCGATGAAAAGCAGTAGCCCGAAAAGACTCGAGTTTCACAAAACCAGGCTTCCACGCTTATACACAAATCTAAAAAACCAACAGAGCCAAATAGATACAGCTAAAAGCGGGATACCCTCAACGTCTTTTGGGTCCACATCAAGCTTCAACTCCTCCAACAAGTACTTGCACACTTCAATCTTGCCCTCTATCGCGGCCAAATGAAGCGCCCCACGTCCCTTATCGTCCTTAGCATCCGCAATGGTTATTGCCATCCCTCTCCCATCGTCGAATTGCGAAGCCAACTCTGTTTCACCACGTTATTCGACGGATGCAGCACATTATGTAGAAATCCGAAGGGAAAGAAACCAAAACTAGGACTGAAAGGGCGGAAAAAAATAAAAGAAAAGGACGCAAGAACAAGAAGAAGCCAACATGTACCTTTGAGTAAGCCAAGATTTCCGGCACGAGCTGCACTAAGAAAACGCAGGACTTTCGGACACGTTGCAAAATTCGGTTTGAGAACAAAGTTAAAGAACATTTCATCATCATCGAAAAGCACGCTGCAGTCGCCGCAAACTAAAATGGTGAAAATGTTCTCAGTTTCCTGTTCAAACGGTGATGATACGCACTCCTCTTTCTCCCAGCCATCACACACACACACACGCACGCACAGAGGGAGAGGGAGAGACCTCTGAGGGGAGTGGACGCAGGAGACGCCATGGACGACGCTTTCACAGAGCTCGAAGAGTAATGAAGTATGATCGGTGGATGTGGGTGTGACAGAATCTTGAAAGGGCATGCCTTTTTAACGGTTTCTTATGGCCAAACCCCGCGCAAAATCTCACTACGGAGAGCGGCTGGTAAGTGACAGTTGTGGTAGTTAACAGTTAGACGTTGCTGACTGAGTTTCTTGTTTGGTACTAACTAGGGGTGCGCAAAACGGACGGCTCAAACCGGGAACCGCCTGGACCGGACCGGACCAGCCAGTTTGGTCCGGTTCCCGAGAGTATCGGTCTAGTTCCCGATTTCTAAAACTGGAACCGGTGTCCGGGCAGTCCGGTTCCCGACCGGACCGATTACATATATATATTTATTTTTTATTTCTTAAAAAACTTAACCTACGCTTTTTTGGTTTGTCTTTTCAATTTGAGGATCATTATTGATGTTTGATCATCCATGGTTGCAAAACTTAGGGTCCTTTTACTAAGATCTTTTTCTAAAAAGTAGTGGGGAACACAAATAGATAGCATCAACTAGTGGAAAAAAAATTGATCGGTTCCATTGGACCTGACTGGAACCGGACTGGACCACCGGTTCGGTCCGGTTCCCAGTTCTAGGATCAACCGGTCCGGTCCCCGATTCCAAATTTTTGGGAACCGGTCCGGTTCCCGATTCCACCTTGAAACCAGACTGAATCAAGAATCGATCACCTCTAGTACTAACTGAATTCCAGGGAGAAAAAGTACATTGAAAGTCTCAGACTCATACGTACAAAGCGCAATCAAGCCTTTAATCTCTTTTATTATTATAAATAAATAAAAACTTGAAATTGTACTTTGTAACATAAGTTTAGAACTCGACTATACTTTCGGATAAAGATTTACGACTTAAGCAAAACAATCAAATGATTTATCCGTTTACAACATACATGTATTTCTCACAAGATTTAGGGCTTGGTTCAAATTTAAGGGAGATTTGTTTTTGGCTTATCTTGGCTTACAATTCACTCTGTCAAAAACAACACTTGAATTTTTCACTCAAAAAATAGAATTCAATTTATTCGAAATGTGAGAAAACTTCAAATGATTATATTTCTGTCGTTTATTTATAATCAGTAAGTTAAGCAGCAAAAGGCAAAATCAAAATGCTAAAAGGCGAAATCAAACTAGATACAACCTGTTTTAGTAATGAAATGAAATGACCCATATAAAACTGTTGCTTGCTGAATTGGTCGCGTTTTTGTAAGGTTGACAGATTGAGGACGGAAATGGAACTGGATAAATAATGAAAATATCATCAGATGGAGACTCCAATTTCCTTCATTCCTTGTTGGGTTGTATGATGAATTATGAAACAACAGATAAGTGCATGTATGGAAGTGGATGAGCATGCACTTCTAGTCTTTCATGGCTTTGCTGAAAAGGGAAAAAGATCCAGTCAATCTGCTATGCTCATCAGAGAAGAAATGTGAGACTTCAACCATGATAGTCGAAACAAAATCATTTCTCTTTTTGGTCCGTCGACGAGCCAAGACTGAGTAGATCAGTCACACAGCTCAACGACCAAGGCCAGGCATACCATTCTTGATGGATGGCGAAACCTTACGACAGCAAGCCTCACCTCGGACAAAACTGCATAGAGCTCATTACCAAGAACACAATATGCGACTGATGGACAAAATTCGTACAAGCTCAAAAAGGAAAACCAAAAAACAAGAAAGGTTGATGCCGTCGTTCTCACTCAAATGGCCTCCCCTCACATTCGACAATTCTTTTTTTCCTGATTTTACAGCAAAATTTGGCACGAGGCATATAGTCTTTCTCAGGGAAAATGGCGCATGGCTATCACAAGCAATGTTCCTTCGACTCGAGCATCAAGTTTTTTCTCACGGCATCTCAAGCATTTCAAGTCATGAACTCTTTTTGTCCGTACCATGGAACTTCCTTCCAGCTTCGACAGCTTCTCTGCAAAGACCATAAAACATGTCAAAAGTCTAAACTCATATTTCATGCAAATTCTAGTTAACTGAAAACCACAACTGTAATGCATTTGCCAGAAACAGATACTTTTGCATTTTAGACCATGAAATCTTCTCCACGTATAGAAGAAACAGGATATGGTAGTGTCCCGCGACTCTTTGACACTATCACTCTATCTCGCTATCACAGCCAGTTTTCAGAGGCTTTAGTGTTAGGCACACACAAACTTCTAGCTTTAACCCAAAACAAAAATCTAGTTACACATTAGTTCTTAATTAAAATTGGAGAAGTTTGCTCAGCTAACCTGAAAGCATTTACAAGCTCCTTATTTTCAGGGTCTAGCTGGACACCCTCATAGAAAAAATTGGCTGCTTCTTCAAATCTCTGCAGAAGATTCCAGTCATACATAGGTACAAAAAGGCACAGACACTAATGCCAATGATGGACTACTAGAGAATATGTGAATCCATGCCTGCAAAAGACGCAAAGCTGCACCTTCCCTATAGTAAGCTTTGGGCCAATGTGGTCTAAGTTCCCTACAAGCCTTTGCATCAACTAGAGCATGTTCAGCTTGTCCCAAACGAATCCAGCAAAGACTTCGGTTGGAAAGCAAAGTTGCATCATTTGGATCAAAGTCTATTGCCTGTAATAACCAAATCAAAAGAGTGGTTCAACTAAGTCAGATTGAGAGCATTTCACATTCCGAGGTATTATTTTAAGCGAGATTTGATATAGTAGCCAGAAGAAGTTTCCGTCTTTGCTACACTTGAGAAATGAGTTGATTACATGAGAATACATACTTCGCAAGGCAGTAGGATCAGAAGAAGAATTTACTTGTGTGTAAGCGTCTAAAGCTGCTTGATAGTCTTTCCTTCGAAAAGCATCATCTGCCCTTGATTTTGCTTCTGCGGCTTTCTGTTTCGCTTCTCCACTTACCTGAGAAAGCAAATATATCACAAGATTAAATAGACAGAAACTCATGCATGCAATATGTCCACATCAAACATTACACGTAAAGTAAGTGATCTACAAGCCTACATGAATCACATACGTGATGGATTAACCAGGTATATCCACATTCAAAGGCCTAATTTGGTGAGTGAAAGCTACTACAACAATCATTTGATAGACAACAAAAAGACACTAAGTCCATGAAATCTTGATCCAACTTTCCGCAATCTCAACCGCTAAAGACAAACTTTTACAAACAACATTAGGTATCCCTAATCACCCATCTTCAATTCATTATGCTATCAAAATTACTTCGTCTATGAGTTACTTGCAAATCAATGGTAGAATGATAAAGAAACTGCTAGCATTTTCATTAATCATCTGATTAAATGCATCAAGAAAGAAAACGTCATTACAAGATACAGAAATCAAAGATCATCTAGCCTACCTGACTAACAGAAGTAGTATAGCACAAACTATAAATACAATACTATAAGGAAAAAGAGAACGTGATCAACAAGAAGTGAAAAGTACAATGAAGCATTACCTCGGGAAGGTTTTGAACTTTCAATGCGGTATCCTTCTCTGTACCAGTTGCCTTCGCCTTGTTGACTTCTTCCTGCAAATTGTAATTTTGAGCTAGAACACAATACAAAAACAACAAGAAACCGATTTTATATCAAGTAAATGCTTGAAAATCTGTGCTATTACGAATATACTTTCGTTCCAACTGAAGGACTCCCTTCAGATGATGAACTTGTGGATGCCTTAGTACAACAATTAGTAATTGAAAAGCAGATTAAAAAAAGGATCTTTCTTAATAACATAGTAAAGAATCTTTAATATAATTTCTTCAAAATGGATTAGCATATTCTTTCCCAAAATTCCACTCCAATTAAAAAGAACGTGTGAATTATGTCATCAAGCAAAAGCACTAGTAAATGCAGATAAGTTGACATATATCTTTTTCTGTACAACTCCCTCCAGTCCAATGACACAACGGAGGAAAAAGCCACCAAAAGCAAAAGTTTTAAGTCCCAATAGCTACCTGCAAATTACCAGCTTCAGTCTGCATATACTCAATGATTCCATCTGCACTCCATTTGGGAATACTGTGAACCTGTGTAGTCTTTGGAAAGAGAATCTCCACAGCTGCACGATTGCCTCTTCCTGCTGCCACCTGTATAGGCTTCAGCCCATCCTGCGATGACAAGAAGAGACACGATGTTTGATTTCTGTCAATTAAACCATTTTAACCGATAAGCCTGTGAACTTGACATTATACTGCTGCTTCAAAAATTCATCCCCAGAACCTAATGCAGATAAGACCTTTAACATTCTTGGTTAAGTAAATCTTCAACTTGTTTGGATAGAATTAAGTTTAAGTAAAAAGTACTTTTTGCTTTCCTGCCAAAATTTAATATATTATCCAAATTGAAAAAATTAGAAAATATATATATATGAGAATCTACGTTTCAACAATTGTATATTGTGAAAGCTTCAAGCATTTAGGGCTCAAAAAAAGTCAAAGTGCATCTGCAGCAAGATTTAGATTAACCAAAAGCATTGAACCATGCAAAGCTCTGAAGCAATCATAAACATCTATTTGCAATCTTTAGTATAAAAAGAACTCTTTATCAACCATCTTAACTTAACATTATTATATACAGAACAAGCTTTCAGAAAATGCAAATGGATAAAACGATAACATAAATACAAATATTAGGTAAATTAAAGCCTTTTAAAGTTCTCAACCTCATCCATGATATTGGGATCAGCTCCAGCATCTAATAAGCAATTTATGATTTCCGGGTTCCCATTATCAGCGGCAATGTGCAAAGGTGTCGCTCCTCCAGCACTAATGTTCACCTTACCACCAGCCTGAGCGAAAGGCAAAATCACAAGAACCATTACAAGAGATAAAAGCAAGCACAACCGCACAAGGAAAGAAGATTCATGGCATCCACAGCATAGTCTTTCAGTGGTGCATAAACTGTAGTTTCCAAAAATCAAAAGATGCATTCAGATGGAAGTCCTAGTAAAATATCCAGAATTAATCGAGGTTTATGATGAAATTTTTGCAAGAAAATAGAAGTGCAATTCTTCATCTGCTAGTTAAACAATGTTAAGAGAAAATTTAACCAGAGTGTTAATACAAAATAAGGAATAATAGCATAGTTTACAGAACTAACAAGGGAGATCAAAAGAAAAAAGGAAAGACAAGTATCAAGGAAGGTTCTCATTGAACCTTGAATAAAGCAGTAAAATGTCAAGGATCTTATACGCACAGATAAGGATAGCAAAAGAGAAAGGGGGCTGGGGGCATAGCCTCCAAGAAAACTGAATTAACAAAAAAGACTACAGTATATCCAAGACACAAGTTAAATCTTAAAGGCCAAGAAATCTAGAACCTGAATCAACAGCTTCAAGCATTCAACAGAACCAGCAGCCACAGATGACAAGAGCGGAGTGATGCTATCATCAGTTTCAGCATTAGGCTGCAAAACAAGATATCAAAGTTATATACAAAATGCTCACACCACATTACAAAACTCCTGTCTACGTAACACCAACGAAAATGCCCAGAATAAATCCCGAAATCTCCACACACGCACTCTCTCTCTCGAAACTACTCTTTTTTTAAAGAGATAAGTATAAGAAATGACGAATTTGACAAGCTTACATTAGCATGATGTTCCAAGAGAACCTTTACAGCATCTTGTTGAGCATGACCAGCAGCCCAAATTAAAGGGGTGCCAGCATCACTTTGAGAATCAATATCAACAACTTTAGAAAGTAGAAACTTCAACATTTCAATGTCCCCTGTAATCAAGTTAGCACAATCAGCATGTCTATCTTCAAATGATACCATAACAAGATTGTGTGTGCGTGTGTGTCTTTGATTTTTTTTTTCTGCAGAGGGGGAGGATAGAGGCTTGCTAAATCAACTGGGATCCAAACGTGTCTATCTTCAAATGATACCATAATAAGATTGTCTATGTGTGCGCATTCGGTTATACTTGGAGGGGGAGAGAGGCTTGCTAAACCAACTGGGGAACCATACATACTCGAACATAGCAGTTTCCAAAAACACAGAAACCAACTCACCTATTCCAGCAGAATGGTGGAGCGCTGTGGCACCTAAGTCACTAGGTATATCAGGATTGGCACCTTGCTCTAGTAAATATTTGGCAGTTTCAGTATGGCCTTGCCGAGCCGCGTGAATAAGAGGAGTCTCGCCTACAATAGAAAAACAGATTCCTATGATAAGCTTGTGTGTGAAACAGAGATTGAACTATTAGCCAGCATAACCATGGCCAAACAGAAGCGAGAAAAGATTTGTGGTCAAATAGATACTCAAAGGGATATGCAGTGCAAACTTAGATTCTACAACATCAGAATGCCAATACCTTAGTACAAGAAACTCAACGAATTCAGTGCATAGACACAACATACAGCCGCTACAAACCATAACTACTTTCGGGCTCAGCTCCAGCAAATATCATTAACCTCACACAACTAGAGAGAATTTAACCATTACACACACCGCCACCCCAAATCAACAAGGTCATAAATAGTCAAAAACAGATTAACACATAACAAATAGCTAAAAAAAGGGGATACCATCATCGTCTTTCGTATCGATGTCGAGCTTCAATTCCTCCAGCAAGTACCTGCAGACCTCAGTCTTGCCCTCTCTCGCCGCAAAATGCAGTGCGCCCCGCTTGTTCGCGTCCTTAACATCCGCTATAGTCCTCGCCGTCCCTTTCCCATCGTCGAGCTGCGACGCCAACTCTGCTCTCCAAACTCAGCAATTCAACACAAATTGCAGTGCGCAACACAGAGAAAACCCAAAAAAAAAGGGGCCAAAACCCAAACTCGGGTATTGAGAAAACAACAGCAGTGCCAAGACCAAGACATACTCTTGAGCAAATCAAGATTCCCAGTTCGGGCTGCATTCAGAAAAAGCTGAACTTTTTGCCTCACTGCAACAAATTAGCACATGAACCAAGTTACAAAGCATAACACAAAACAAAAAACAAAGCATTTCTTCATCTGCTACACACCCACATTCAGACAGACAGACAGACAGACAGAGAGAGCGACCTGCTAGAGCATCAGATGCGTCAGCAGACATGATCGATCAAGGAAACCAACAGTCTTGGTCTGCTTCTTCCTACGGAGCACGAAAGATTTGAACTTGCTCGGCAGTTCGTAGGTGGGTGCTGCTGCGTGCGCTTCCGGAGTAAAGAAGAATGGTGAGAACTCTCCGGGGCTGCGCGACAGAGACAACCCCTCCTTGCGGTGGACTCAACTCGGGTCCGAGACTCCGAGTTGATTCCGGTTCGCGTGTCCATCGCTCGGCCGGTCCGGACCGGGATGAACCGGAATCCCTTCTAGCGGTGCTCGGGCGGGCCGGGCTTTAGTTTTACAAAAATACGGGTCGGCCCGAATCTGTTGGGATGGAATTCCCGAGCCCGGTAAGTGGCTTTTCCTTTTGGACTCTCTCTTTTTGTAATTTATCAAACTTATTAATGATCCAATAAAATTCAAAATAATCTGCCTGTTTTTTTCCCAAATAATTAAGGGATAAGTGCAGCTAAAACTTGTCACAAAGCAAAGGTGCAATTGAATCCTAAAATTTTCAAAAGGTGCGATTAATTCCTAAAACTTATCGAATTTGTACAATCGAGTCATTCCGTAAACTCAGTCCAATTTGGCTAACAAAAAATGCCGACATGGCTTTTTTATTATTTTTTCTCTCCCAAGCGGCACTAACATGATTAAAACGACATCGTTTTGGTCGAAACCTAATTTTTAATACAATTTTTATTTAAATTATATTTTTTTTTAAAAAGGAAGAAGCAAGCCAGTTACCGCCGTCGCCCACCATCGTCAGGAAGGGCCAGCAATGGTGGGGGAAGGGTCGGCAGGGGTCGCCAGGCCCCAGGCCCTCGCCTGCTAATTCTTTTTTTTTTTCCTCTTTTTTGTATTGTTTTTAAATTTTGCTTATTTTTAATATAATTTAAATAATTTTTTATTGAAAATTAGATTTTGATCAAAACAATGTCATTTCAGTCGTGTCATCGCCACGAATGATAGAGAAAATAATAATAATAAAAAGACATGTTAATTTTTTTCGTTTGTCAAGTTGGACGAAATTAACAGAACAACTCAATTGCACCAATTTGACAAGTTTTAGGACTTAATTGTACTTTTTGCAAATTTTGGGACTCAATTACACTTTGAGGACAAATTTTAAGACTTCCAATGAACATATCCCAATAATTAAAATGATAGTGCTTAATTATCTACTTTAAGTCTAAAGATCACGGCTTGATCCCGACAAGAAATTATCGATCTTCGATTTATGTTAATCATGGGGACTTACTTGATATGATTAAATGAGAGATTTATTTTCAAGTCACTCCACTGGACTCTAATCTCTTGACCGGACTCTTATGAAAAAATGCAGCGATTGCAACTAAAATATTGTTATTCTGAATAAATTTTGCTTTTAAGCAATGTATAACAATAATAAGAAACTTTGATTATTGCAAACAAAAGGAAGAAGAAGAAAGGAGCAGACACAAATCAATGGAGACGAACACAAAGCAGCTCCAAAAGGCAAAACGCTGCACTGGGGACGGGTAGCCAAACAGTCCTTAGAAGCTGCTGCTTCCCCGGCGTTCGACCAATAGGGACCGGGAAAAGGCGTCGGCGTCCCTGTTTCTGTTGTCTCAGCGATGGCTTACGAGCCGTCGCCCGCAAATGGAGGAAAGGCTCGCCCGAAACCCGTCCCTCCATATCAATAGCAGCTAACCAGATAGGCGACGAGGGAGCATGCTGTCGCTAACAAGCTTGAGGAACGGAGATTGAATGCCTTTAGCGACGGCTCAGGACGTTGCATGTTCTCTGCTGATAGCAACGACGTTCTTCTGCACGGTAATTCGAAATCGTAACTTCAACTAACAAATAGTTGCATTCATAGGTAGGTGGGATTTGCACAGCTTTCTAACTTGTGCTTATAACTCCACCGGTGACTCGTCCTCGCGTACGTCAAGAATGCTTAGTTGAGTCACGCGAGTGATAAGCTTCCATGATTATCTTGTCAAGATCAATGCTCTTTCCAGATCCCACGTACCTTTTTTAGTTAGTTACTCAATCCGTTCGACCCCATAAACGGCTCGATTAAGCTGATTCACTGCTCACATCGTTCTGGTCGGCCCAACTCGACATCCGACCTCCATGCATGATCTAAAATCCAACATCAGAAAATGGATACACCCGAGCGTCACGACATACAACTACACTTAGCAGGTACAAGGCTATCGTACCACGATTGGCTTCTGATAGTCACTCGAAAGTCGAACATTTTCGCCATCTTCTGAATCACGCTACGCGAATTTACTAGTAAAAAGAAGGGCCGAAAGCAAAGAGAAAAAGAGCAAATGCATTGTCTTGGAGGGACAGTCATTGAGAAGGCAAGAAGCAATATCTGTCTTCTCGGTTATATTCATTTACACAGATTAACAAGCCCCAAGGAAAAGCCATATCCATCAACCTCGTTTTGGCTATACATCAAGTATCATCAAATGAAACCCTAATTTTAGTTTAAGCTTCTCTCTCATCCTCCTCAGTTTTTTTCCTCTCTTTTTTTTTTTCTGTACAAGCTAGTCGTCCCACAACCACACACCCATTTGATTTTTCAGGATGATTGCCTTAGAGAACATGCCACAGCTTGAGCCCAGTGCCTCAGTTTGGTCTTCACGTGCTGAGGATCATCACCTATATATATACGTACACATTTTTTTCATTTCAAAGGAAAGAAGTCAACAGGAAACAAAGTCTATCAGACAGATATTCATATCAGATGACTTAAATTTGGAAAGTTCGTAAAATCTAATGAAGTGACTTCGGCAACAAGCTAAAATAACATGAAACGACATGTAGATTGATTTCTAGCTAGGGCATCTAACCTAATTTTGAAAGCTTGGAATGCAAATGAAGCTATTATTTCCTGTGGACTTTGAAATTGTTCGAGACCATTGAAGAAGATAATGGAGATTTGATTGTAGTAGTTGATAAATGGATTGTCAGTTGTTTCAATGAAGGTGTTCGCCATTTATAAAGTTTTGTAGATGAACCATTTTTCTCATATCCTTCATGAAACAACTGCATTTTCATGAGAATAATCTCTAGCTATATTTTGTTGATTTTCATTGGGATAAATCATTTCAAAAGCCATACCTGGATTACAAATCTTCCAAGCGTCGGAGTCGCTCGTAGGGCTCTCCAAGGACATGGACCGCCCACCGAGCGAGGACGGCGACGATTGCCCTTGGCTCTGTGGCGTCGACCCAGGGCTCAGGGAGAGCTGCCGGTTTACCGCGAAGTAGAGGTCAAGAGCCGGCAGCGTGTTGCACAGCTTCTGCCCGTCCTTCTCCTTGAAGCCGAACCCGAGCTCGATGCTCCCCTTGAGCTCGTTCAGGTCCTCGTCCGTGATGTCCTCTGGCGTCACGCCGAGGCCGCTCTTCCCAAGGATCTGGCGCCGCCGCTTCTCCCACGCAATGTCGCGGGGGGTCTCGCACATGGACAGCTGCTTCGTCAGCCGCTTCCGGTTCTTCCACCGCGGCGGCGCCAGCGGCATGCGCTGCAGCTCCTCCAGGTCCGACGAGCTGTGCGGAGACCGCGGCGACGACGGGGCCGACGACGATGAGCAAGAAGACAAGGGCAAGACCTGCTTCTCTTCGCTACATTGGTCGACGTCCTCCATGTCGAGCTGTTGCTCCTGCAAGGTGTTTACCGCTTCCGTGCTGCACATGTCGAGGCCCGGAACAGCACGGGCCTCCGGCCGGGGGGGGTTGCGGGTGGGATATCGGGAGTTAAAACTAATTTGTATTCAAAAGAAGAGAAAAAAATATTATTATTTGTTAATATTGGGTTGAATTTGATGATACCAGCTCAAAACGAAAAGAAGATGATGGAGAGAGCTTTAACGGAGGACAGCAGTGCAAAACCTAATTATGGTTAGAAGAGGCGTCGGTCACGCCCGTCCATTAGAAGGGTTGTGCTATTCTTGCACCGTCCATCTGTAACTGGAAAGACAACAGTCCATGGAAGTTACTTTTGAGGGTTACATATGAAAGGTGAAAAATGGTGCATCGGAAGCTTCCGTGAACGGGCCTGGTTGATTAACAAGCACATGTGTGATTAATCTGTTTCGGTTCATCGTCGAACAGGAATTGCAACGCGTGCCGTATGGTCGCAGCCAGATAACAACAAACCCTAAAAATGATCACTTCGGATGAGTCGTGTCGGTAATCCAATAAATTTAATTAATACATCTCATGCCTCGAACGAGACTTTAAAGAATCGAGAGTTAGGGCGTGTTTGTTCGAGTGAAAGAGTTTTCGGCGATTTAGTATTCTGGACTTTCACATATTTGGCTAACTAGAAATGATCGGTCAACGGAAAATCATTTATGGTCAAAGAAAATATGCATGCTTAAAGTTAGGAAAATGAATTCCCTAGCCTGAAAAAGGGAAAACATTATCCTGAAAAATGATTTCTCGGAAAACATTTTTCTTTTATCATGAAATTTTCTCATAAACAAACACGCCCTCAAATTTAGTTTACTTTTGAATCATGATTTTGCCCCTCGCATGATGTTATGTTACTATAGTTCACAATGGCGTTCTTACAATATTTATCGATATAAAACTTTGAAGTTGAAACCATCTTTCCAATATGCTTAAATGGAGAGACTTAGAGGGGTGAGCACAGGACTGCTAATTATTTTTGGGTAACCGCTAGATTCATCAGTTAAAGATGCAATTAATGTATTTGCATAACTGTGTGTGGTTATAGAATGATAGGACTCGATCTCAGGATACTATCAACAGCCATTTTCATGGCTTTATTCAGTTTTGATCGCGTTCGTGTGTTTGCTTGTAACCATTTAGAGGCCTTATGAGAAATCCGATGCTTTTGAGTTCGGTTCTATTCTTGCACATACTTCAGTTATGCCAACAACCTTGTACAACTGTATTATGCTCTATCCCTGGAGAGTTTTCAGGAGGACACTGCTAAATATAGGATTCTAGTTTTTCTGGATCACTACTCCAGGAAAAGTATCCACCTTCGCAAAACCAATGTGTCGGATCTCCCTCGCCTTCATCAACCTTTAACCGACTCCGACCTTCGGATCGATCCTCGGGTGAGCCTCCCAAATATGGGTAGCAGAAAATAGGAGCGAGAAGAGAGAGAGAGAGAGAGAGAGGTGCTCCATTCATCATACAAAAGCAAAACAAGAAAATTTGTCATGTTTTCTTGCCTGGTTCCGTTCCAGGTGAGGGCAAAGCATGTTTTGAGCTTCCATGGCTGATAGGAGCCATTCGGCGTGATCTCCAGGACAGAACAGAGAACCGAGAATCCGCTGATCATCCGTTTTGGCGTACAGGAATCCGTTTCTTTCTCTTCCATTTTTCCAAATGAATTCCGATTGATTAATCCAATACTAAATAGTTTTCCTGTACGCCAAGATCCTCCCTTTGTTGAGTAAACATGTACAAAAACATACAGATTTTGCTCTCTATTATTTCTGTATCCGTTCTTTTCGATTCCCTTTACGCGTCAAGTGCAGACCCCACCCCGTTGATCCTTAGCTGTGGGTCGACGGGCGGCGGGAAGGACGCCGATGGGCGAAAATGGGACTCGGATTCTAAGTACTTCACCTCCAACAACTCAACGGTAGAGAAAGCCACGTATCAAGACCCCTCTCTCCCCTCCGATGTCCCATACATGTCTGCCCGGATTTTCACCTCCGAAGCAACATATCAGCTACCCGTGAAATCCGGCAACCGCTACTGGGTCAGGCTCCATTTTTACCCATCTACGTATGGATCCCTCGATCCTGCAGATGCGTACTTCTCGGTGGTCGCCGGCAGCGTCACCCTGTTGAAGAATTTCAGCGCCTCGGTCACGGCTCAAGCTCTCACACAGGCCTACCTCGTGAAGGAATATTCTCTGGCACCCTTGGACTCGGATTTTGTGAACATCACTTTTGCGCCTTCAGATAAGCACAGTGGAGCCTATGCCTTTGTGAATGGCATCGAGCTGATTCCGATCCCGGACTTGTTCGACTCGGCACAGATGGTCGGGTTCTCAGACCAACCTGTCGATGCCAAGGCCGCGAATCTACAGACTATGTATAGGTTAAATGTTGGAGGCCAGTATATACCTCCGAGCAATGACTCCGGTACGCTCACTCGAACATGGTACGATGATACGCCTTATTTGTATGGAGCAGTGGCAGGAGTCACAAACGAGGCCGACAAAAAAGTTCAGATCCAGTACAATGATTTGCCTGACTATGTCGCCCCGGTTGATGTTTACAGAACCGCAAGATCCATGGGGTACGATAAGAATTTGAACAAGAACTACAATCTGACTTGGCAGTTTCAGGTGGACGCTAATTTCACCTACCTTGTGAGGATGCACTTCTGTGAATACTTCTTGACTAAGGTCAACCAGAGAGTTTTCGATATTTACATCAACAATCAGGTTGCCCAGGAAGCAGCCGATGTGATCGGATGGGCGAGTGAGCAGGGGGTGCCGGTTTATAAGGATTACGCAATTTATGTCGGCGACGGGAAGGGGGACGAGCAAATCTCGATAATGATGAATCCCTCTGTCACTGCAGATCCTCCACCGGAGTACTACGACGCTCTCCTAAATGGGCTGGAAATATTTAAGATAACCGATGCAACCGAAAACTTGGCGGGTCCCAATCCGGAGCCATCCGAGATGCTAATCAAGGCTGAGGCCGAGGCTGCAGCTAAGGCTAGTGAAGCAAAGGCTTTCACGTCATCAACAACGAGCAACGTTAAGTTGATCACTGGAGCGGCTGGAGGAGCGGCTGCGTTCGGTGCCTTGGCGGCAATATGCATCACAGTCTACGTAAAAAAGAAGAGAGTCCCCGGAACCGAATCACATACAACTAGCTGGTTACCTATCTCGGGTTTCTCCCACACGGCAGGAAGCAAATCGCACGCCTCTGCTGCCAGCCACCTCTCGTCAGAGGCTCAGTGTCTCAGCCGACGTTTCTCGTTAGCTGAAATTAAACAGGCAACGAAGAACTTCGACGAGTCTTATGTCATTGGGGTCGGAGGCTTCGGCAAGGTCTATAAAGGAGTCATTGATAAGACCATGAAAGTGGCCATCAAGAGGTCAAACCCTTCCTCAGAACAGGGAGTTAATGAGTTCCAGACTGAAGTGGAGATGCTTTCCAAGTTGAGACATAAGCACTTGGTGTCGTTGATTGGATACTGCGAGGAAGAGAACGAAATGTGCTTGGTTTACGACTACATGGCGAGGGGAACGATGAGGGAACACATCTACAAAGGAAACAACACACCACTGTCATGGAAGCAGAGGTTGGAGATCTGTATCGGCGCAGCGAGAGGACTTCACTACCTTCATACAGGGGCAAGGTACACTATCATTCACAGGGATGTCAAGACCACCAACATTCTCCTAGACGAGAACTGGGTAGCGAAAGTTTCAGATTTCGGGCTCTCGAAGACCGGTCCTAACATGGATAAAGGCCATGTTAGCACTGTGGTGAAAGGAAGCTTTGGGTACTTGGATCCCGAGTACTTCCGCAGGCAGCAGCTGACAGAGAAATCGGACGTTTACTCCTTCGGGGTTGTCCTCTTTGAAGTTCTGTGTGCAAGACCTGCATTGAACCCTAGCCTCCCAAAGGAGCAAGTAAGTCTTGCTGATTGGGCTCTGCACTGTCAAAGAAAGGGAATCCTTGAGGATATCATTGATGCTCAGCTCAAGGGCAAGATCAACCCCGAGTGCTTGAAGAAGTTCGCGGAGACCGCCGAGAAGTGCCTCTGCGAGCACGGACTCGAGCGTCCCACCATGGGAGACGTGCTGTGGAATCTCGAATTCGCTCTCCAGTTGCAGGAGAACGCGGATGGTTCCAGCCATTCCTCTCACCGAGCAGGAAGCAATGTTTCCGAGGAAGTCGCTCCACGACTAGACTTGAACAGTCTGAGCATCGGCAGCGAGCACGAACTGAGCCAAGATTCAGACGACATGAACGCTATTTTCTCGCAGATAGTCAATCCGAAAGGCCGATAAGGACAATGTTACCGTCCCATTCGCCAATTTACCTAGATGATTCTGACTTTATTTTCTGGTTTTTCTGATAGTAACACTAAGTGGATGCATGTTGAAGGTAACACCAGGTGAAGCTCCATCTGTACTTGTGAAGTTCAGTGTGAATTGACAGATGTTGTGGGTTTTTCTTGCAAAAGAATCTATAAATTGGCATTACTTATTACCGCTACTACTTTGTGTTTTCTCATCCTAACCTATCAACTGTCAACCTATGACATCCAAGCTTTGTCCCACTGATAGTTTTACTTTTACTTTTCCATTCTTCGGTGAGCCAACGTAACAGAGACCCAGCAAAGTCAAGATGCGAATACCATCCATCGCCATATGTGGTTGATTCCGCCGGATGATCCAGTGACTAGCTAGTACTTACTCATTTTACCTCCCACTTGATTACGTACACTTGGCAGTTAATGAAAGGCAGATATCGCGATAATCTGGAAATATAAACAAATCGGGGGGATATAATTTGGTAAATTCCTACTTCCATTCCAATAAGGAATGCAAGCAAGGAATCTAATCCAGGAATGTTATCAGTCCACATTAGATAGACCTTTCCGGCTCTGATTTACTTGCGAAGATTTAATTGCGAAGAGCGAAATGACATGCTCACGCCTCTTGCCTATCTAAGTTCTGCTCAAAACCTCATCGAGAACTTGTATAGAGAAGGATTTCCGGCGACGCCGCAGTGGATAAAGGTCAAAACTAATACTCCAGGAGTACACAAGGATTTCTCGAGGAAGAGTCCTCAGGGGAAACTTTTCTAAATAACACTAAGGCAGGAATTGTATCGACGGTAGTTTCAGAAATACTCGATGCTCCATATTGCATTGGGCCTTCCAACATATTCCGCAAGGTAACGATCTTGCAAAAACGAACAGTTGCTATCTGATCGACATTAACAAAACCTATACATTTGCAGCCTTTTTCTTCCCACACCTATCCATTTCCTTACTCAATTACTCCCAAGCATCCAAGGAAAAAAATACATATAAGATAGTAGATGTAAACGAGAAAACTGGGTGAAGTTCCGAATTCAAATTTAAGGTTCGCCGGCAACAAAAGCACAACAAACTTAACTAGAAGGACATCAAAATTGAGTATCAAAATCTAGTGTCTCCAACAACTGCTTCAAAATGGACGAACAATAAGAAAATATGTCATGGAACACACTGTGTTTTTACTTGAGGGGAATGAAGCGAGAGGAATGGGTAGCACCGATACCGGGTCTTCCATGCTTAACGGGTTTATACGAGATGGAGAACTCAGCAAGATAGTGGCCAATCATTTCAGGTTTGATCTCAACTTGATTAAAAGTCTTGCCATTGTAAACTCCAATGATGCTTCCAATCATCTCGGGAACTATGATCATGTTCCGCAGGTGGGTCCTTACTGGTTCGGGCTTCTCACCCGCAGGGGCCTCCCTTTTCTATTGCAAGGTTCGAAGAAAGACCCATATTAGTATCATGTGCTAAGTAACCACATTAATGAACGCCCATTGCAAAGACATGTGAAGGTCTATCGGGTGATTTGCAAATATAAAATCAATTAAAGAACCAAGCTCTTTATCACAAAAAATGATGTCTGGCTATGAAATACATTGGACCTCAAAACTGGGGGACTAGGTCTGGGGCAATTTCCACCACCTTAAACCTACTTAAACTGTTGGCCAAAAAAAAACCTGCTTATCTAAAAACTTCTTAGAAGATGCAACATCAGACCTACACAGAAATCAGGATCAGAAGATCATGGGCGGTTATCTCATTCAAAAAGTACAACAATATCCTGTGATGCCATGGCATGGCCCATTGCAGTCAAGGGAGATGAGAAGCTAGCAGCGCTAGTGAGATTAGATTATCATGGCAATAAAATGTTGAAGAGTCCAAGCCATCGCAAGCATGTTTTAAACCACTTAAACAAGACTTTCTTTCACTGTCCGACGACGAACCCGTGGAATTCCTTTGAAGCTACGACGCTACGCCTTAAATCCAAACCCAAAACTTCAACTAGCCAAAGTACTACCATAACACAATGCACATCACCTTCAAAAGAATGACCACCGACCTCGGTGCAAGTTTTAACAGCTATTCATAATTACCGAGAGAGGAAAGCCCATCTTAGCTGACTATTTTATACGGCCTACTCGACGATCAAAACCGCATCGATGTTCTTTGAATCTAAATTCAACATCGAACAATTCCCTAATTCATATCATGTAGCATTTTATATTACCCAGGAGAGAATTTAAAAACCAGATCTTACCGCCTTGCGCAGCTTCTTGATCAAGGCCATCGGCTTCCGCTTCAAACCTCTCTGGAACCTACCCAGTTCCGCAAACAAAACCGACCTCAGACAACCATTTCCGGCACATACAAAAAAAAAGAAAAAAAAAAGCACCGAATGCGAAAAACCAGACACTTCGAGCCCAAAACTTCCCGATTCAAGAAACGGAAGCAGCAAAACCCAAGATAACTTTACCTTCTGCGAGCTCGGGCGGTGAAGAGCTTGACGAGCTCGTCGGTGGACATGTCGAGGAGCGCATCGAGGTCGACGCCCCTGAAGCTGAACTTCTTGAACGTCCTCTTCTTCGGCTGCCCTGCGACCGCGACATCTGCCTCCACATCCGCCTGCGGAAACCGGAGGAAGGCACGAGGAAACAGGACAAAAGAACCAAACTTTACCGGTCAAAAACCTCGTTGAATTCGGAGAAATCAAGGAGAGGAGGAGGAGAACGGAAGCGAGGATTCACCATGTTCGATGGAGAGCCGAGGTCGAGCGAGCGAACGCGCTGTGCTGCAGCTGACTGTGAGGAGATTAGGGTTTTCGCAGGAGGTGGATTGCGCTCGCTTTTTCTATGGCGAGCTTTTATATGGTCCTCGCCACGCGGATTCGGGTCGGGTCAGGGTCAAGTCGGGTTTCGGGGGGGCCTAAACTTGTTTTCCCAGTCGGACCCCCGCCGTGGCCCAGGCCATTGTTTTTAATTTAGGATAATGACGTAAATGGTCCTCAAACTTTGACACAACGTATAATATGATCTCTAAAATTTAGCCGAATGGGCAATATCGTCCTGAATTTTTAATTTGTTCAATGTAATCCTTGAACTTTTGATACACGTTCAATCTAATCCCTGAATTATATGAAAATGTTTGATGTTGTCCCTGAACTTGAATAAATAGAATGATAATATTAAGCATTTTCATATAGACAAGGGACTAACTTGAAAATGTACCAAAATTTTATGGATCACATTTGATAAATTAAAAGTTTAGGGACCGCAAATAAAATATTGAGCTAATTTAGTTTATGGACTATATTAAACAAATTCAAAATTCAGGAACTATATTGTATATTGGGTCAAAACTCAAGGTACCTGGACATGGTCGTCGTGGACTCAAGAACAAGCTCAAAGTCCGAGTCTTAACCTCAAGAAATCTAGGCCCAACTTATGTGGACCCAAGCTTGGGCACCAATGACTTGGATGCAAGAGATGGGTACCTGAGCACATCCGTCGAGGACCCGAGCCAGCCTTTGTGGACCCGAGCTTGGCCTTAATAGGCTCGGGTTGGGGCAACGGACAATATCTTGAGCTTGGCCTCAATAAACCTAAATGTCCCCCGTAGTGACTCGAGTGCAAAAGCTAGGTAACTTGGCATGCCCATTAAGGACCAGGAACGGGCACCGTGACTTGGGTACAGGAGTTGGGTACGTTGGCCCTGGTGGCGAACAAGGGTCTTGGGCCTAGCCTTGAGAGACTTGGGCCCGGGCGTCAATGACTCAAGGGTGGGAACTGAATACCTAAGCATGGTCGCTAGGGACTTGTGCCCAGGTGCCGATAACTTAGGTACAAGAGTTGGGTACCTGGGCATGGTCGCATGGAATCCTAACATGGGTACCAATGTCCCTCGGTCACCCTTTATTGGACTAGGGCCTGACCTTTATGGACCCATTTTCTGGGCATTAGTGACTAAGGGAGAACCGGGTAACTAGGCATGGCTGTCGGGGACTGCTGCGGACTAGAGTGCGGGCATTGGGGACATGGCCCCTATCTCTGTGGACATGAGCCTGGGCGCCGATGACTTGGGTGTAGGAGTCAGGTACCCAAACACGACCATCAAAAACTCGGGTAGAGGTACCAAAATCTTGGGCCTAGCCTTGAAATACCTAGCCTAGGCCTTTGTGGACTTGGGCCCGACCAAAGAGGAACCAATCCTGGCCTTGATGAACCTAAACCTAGGAGCCGGTTACTTGGGCATGGCCACCGGGTACTCAAGCATGGGCATCAGGGTCTCGAGCCTAGTCTCCGAGACCCGAGTTCAACTGCCAAGGACTCGAACACAGGCATTGCAGTTTCTATGCTCCTGTCTAAGCATTAATATCTAGTCATATTTTGAAAAATTATTTCTAATTTTTAAAAGAGGAAGCAAATGTTTTTCTGTCAACTATGAAAAAAAAAATTCATTGATTCGTTTTCCTGATCAATCCAAACATCGAAGAATAAGGAAAATGCTTTTAACAAAAAAAAAATTCTGTAAAATAAACGTAGTCTTATTTACGTTTGTCTTTCATGGTGAGGTATGATGAGCTCTCAAATTCAAACGTACGGAGAAGATTGGAGATAAACCGCGATGTCAACCGCGTAGCGACATTTTACTTGGTATCTCGGCCGTGCTAAGTTGATTCCTCTTTGTACTAGTGTTTTGTGTCATTGTCGTTTCCCATCTGAAAAAGAAAACGGTTAATCGTTATTACTGCCCATAGCTACGATGATCATATCCAATCCGGCGATCCTCCCAATTATACGGAGTATAATACTTTCATGAATAGTATATGAAAATCGGCTTCATGCATCATTGATTTATTGCTCGTAGCTACCCACCATTTCATTAACCACCAAATAGGATGAAGCGGCCCGTGGAACTTTCATGTTCGTTTTGGACTTTTGTGTTCGTCTGGGTTAGTGTGCGCTCGATTAATCATAATCAGTATGACTTGATTGTACTTATTTTATGAAGATTTAGAATTCGATCGGGTTCTATCCATGACAAATTATTCCAATTGTGATTAGGGTTTCAAAATTTGATCAATAACAAAGATTTAGAATATGATTAATCATGATCAACATCATTGATTTAGAATTTATTATTAGTGTTTCGAAATTGCCATTTTTCTTGATTTGAAAACAAACAATTTTGTTCAACAAATTGAAGGCATTTTGATCATCTTCGATTTGATATCACTCCAATTGGTATTGTAAAAGATAAAAGGCCTCTACCTTCCATTTAAACAAGTACCCAACAACATATTACCTAGTCTTTTTCGTCTCGTGGCATGCTACATCCGTGGTTCGGTTTCCCTCCAATCAGGTAGTACCGCTAGCAAAGCTAGGTCCGATTGGCCGGTAGCATGTTTTGTAAATTGTATTCATTATTCGAGGTCCTCTTTTTCTAAACATGCATAGTATAATGGCGCAAATATCACGTTGAAGTGATTCCTTACGTGTTAAGTGAATCGATGTTGTCACGATCAATTTGTAAATTGTAGCCTGAACAGTTGCTCAAAGATTTCTTGACATCGCATGAATTGATGGTGAATTTGGTTCTCTTTCTGGAATGAGCGTTTCCATACCGCGTCGTCATCTCTCGATTTTGCAAAGTCAAACTTGAGCTATGGAAATAAACAAATTGTTCGACGCAATGTCGACATTCCGATCACATCCAATTATGCAGAGTCCAAACGATAAAAAGTCTTTCTTCCCGAGGCAGTCAAGGGTTTTCTTATTGCTCATAAGTTTCATAACATCCCATTAAATTTGTAGCAACTACTTTGACTCGTATTAACAAAACCCGTTTCAACATCGTAGTATTTTGTTGATTTGAAAATGTTGAATCGTTAACCGTTTTCACGATAATCGAGAAATAAACCGTTGCTCCATAAATACTAACGTTTCAATCGTATCCAATTTAGTTTCGTTCCCAGTAGTTTGGAGTATGCAAGATGAATCATGGGGTCTTCCCGACACGTGTTTAATAAGATCGGTTATAGAATTCTCTAAATCCCATCACACTAGCTTGGATTGCCATCCCCAGCTTCTATAGACGACAACGTCAGTCTCGTTTAGAAATCACACTTACACCTCTGGAAAAACATCGGTACATAAAAAAGACCATGCGCAGCTCCCACGAACAACGTCGCCTTCCCAATCAATTCGTCCCGAGTAAACCGTTGTTCCGAAAACTCTAACGTTTCAATCATATCCAATTTAGTTCCATTCCCAATAGTTCAGAGTATGCAAGATGAATCGTGAGGTCTTCTCAACACATGTTTAATGCAAATCCATCATAAATTCTCCGATCCTATCGTGTCGACCTAGATCGTCATCCCCAGCTTCACATACGACGAAGTCAGTCTCATTCAAAAATCACACCGACACCTCGAGAAAAAAACCGATGCATAAAAAAGACCACGAGTAGCTCCCACAAAACTCGTCGCCTTCCCAATCAATTCCTCCCAAATAAACCGTCATCCCATAAACGCTGACGTTTCAATCATATCCGGGTCAATTTCATTCCCAGCAGTTCGAAGTACGAAAGATGAATCACTGGGCCTTCCCGACACGTGTTTTAATGCGAATCTATCGCAAAATTCTCCAATCCTATCGCGTCGGCCCAGATCACCATTCCCAGCTTCACATACGACGACGTCGGTCTCGTTCAGCAAATCACACCGACACCCTCCGGGGGAGAAAAAACCGATACAAAGAAAAGATCACCGCTCAGCTCCCGCGAACCCTATCGCCTTCCCAATCAATCGCTCCCGCATCACCCAACCCAATTGAAAATCACCATGCAAAAAACCCACCACCACAAAGCACACCTCTCAATCCATCCCACCATCAAAACCCCATTGAAATCCATCCACTCCATCTTCAATCTCATTCATCCCAAATCAAAGCCGAAAACACACCCTCTTGAACAAAGTGCCTCCTCCCCCCTCCCCACCACCACTCTTGCCACTATCCTGAACGAAGGCGGGGGCACACGCTAATCCTTCGCTTGACCACGAAACGCCGCTTCCCGACCGTAGATGAGCCCCCGCGCCCATCCGACGGCCCGCATTCAAACCCACAAGCGGCCTCGATCCGTGTCGCTCTGGCTCCGCCAATCAGATCCCTCCGTACCATTCTCTCTCCTGCTATATAACGTCGCCTGCTCGTCAACATCTCTCTCTCAAAACTCGCCATCTCTCTCTCTCTCCTTCTGACCGTCGACGCGCATACGCAAGCTCTGCTGTCTGCGCTCCAATGGCTGCCGTGACCGCGAAGAAGGCTCGATCCCCGTCCTCTCACCCTCCGTTCTTCGAGGTATGAGAAGTTCTGGGTCGTCTTCAAGTTCCGATTTTTCTCCGCATTTCGTGGCTAATTCGTGTGGGTGTTGTTGTTGGTGGTGGTGTTGCAGATGATATCGGATGCGATCGTGACGTTGAAGGAGCGGACCGGGTCGAGCCAGTACGCCATCCAGAAGTTCGTCGAGGAGAAGCACAAGAAGCTGCCGGCCAATTTCAGGAAGCTCCTCCTGGTCCAGCTCAGGCGCCAGGTCGCCTCCGGCAAGCTCGTCAAGGTCAAGAACTCGTTCAAGCTGCCCCCCGCCGCCGCCGCCGCGGCCAAGCCCGCCCCCGCCGCGTCCAAGCCGAAGGCGAAGGCGGCGGCTGCCAAGCCGAAGCCGAAGCCGAAGACTGTTGCGAAGACGAAGGCGGCTGCTCCCAAGGCGAAGGCCGCCGCCGCCAAGCCCAAGACGGCCGCGAAGCCGAAAGCCGCAGCGGGTGCGAAGAGGAAGGCTGCTGAGAAGCCCAAGCCCGCGGTGAAGGCCGCGAAGACTTCTGCGAAGGCCACGCCCGCCAAGAAAGCTGTGAAGAAGGTCGCCCCCGCGAAGCCGAAGAAGACGCCGGTGAAGAAGCCGAAGAGCGTGAAGACGCCGGTGAAGAAGGCGAAGAAGTGAGCGGAGCCCGGTGGGGTGCCGGGTTCTTTGACTAGCGTAGGGGGTTACGGATTTTAGGCGAGGATTTCGGTTGTGTATAGAAGATGGTCTCTGGCAACATATGACATAGCCCTTTTCGTTTTCTCTTTTGTCCCCCTTTTCTTTTTCTCTTGGTTTTTCTCGAACCGTGCTAACTCTATTCTTGTTAGTGCATATGTTTCCATGTAAGCTTCTAGGCGAAAGATTATTAAGATGGTTTTCTTGTGTTTGATAAGAAACATTCTACGGGGAGAATCGAAACGCTCTGACTTCTGCATCTGGGTCTGGCGTTTCCTTTTCTTTCCTCGTCGCACGCTTCACTGTTCTGTTTGTTCTCGGCGATGTACAGTGAACAGAGGAGGCATCGATTAATCTTACGTAAAGATTCGAACGATAAAGTGGGCATCGTGTGTTGGTCTCTTGTGGACCAAGCCAGAACTGGGTCCACCGTTCACGGATGGTTCGCGTCTGTATCGATAATGTCTCGATTTTGCAGCAGTTTCTCCAGCCATAGTAGAGAGGGGGTTGTCTCTTTCGCAGCAGAAAGGGGGGGAAATGGAAACTTTTCGCAGCGCATTCCTTTTTTGAACTTATTGGGAGCCAGATTTGCTTTATGAAAGTCCGTCTTCTTTTGAAATGTTTTGAAACCGCCGAGAATTTCAAATGGGTATGCGGAACTGCCGACTTTATGGTGATTCTGCACTGTTTTCGTTCGAGTTTTTCGTTTAGGAATCACATCAAGCGGGAACGTGATGCTGAAGGAAAAAAACTCAAATCGTTGCCTGTAGTTTCTTATCTTGTGCCGATCATCATATGGGGTTTTTATTTATGTGTATTACTCGAATGTCTTGGAAATTGAGACGTCATTTCTCTTTTCTAAAAGAGAAATTGGAATAGCAGAGCTCCACAGGGTCGAGCAGGAAGCAATTGAACGGGATTGCCTTCATGTTCACGCAACTTAGGTCAGCTCTAGCACAACACTTGGTTTACGTTACACAGCCCGAATGACATGAGCTACAGCATTTTGCACGACTGATTGTTGCATGGTTTCCAAGTAAACATTGTGCTACTCCATTTGATTATTACCGATCGGGGACGATTGGAAAAGCCCGGCACGATCAGATCGGGCATATCGTTTCGGTGAAGGCTGACCCAGAGACAATCTCAAGCGAATCCAGTTTGTTACAAGTGATCCAAATCCTGCAAAGTGGAACAAATGACGGGGACTGCGGTCTGAATTAATATGAGAAAATTATGTTTTTGGCAGGATAACAGTGTCTAAGGAAGTACATACTCTTTGTAAGAAGCTTCTTCAGAGGGTTGATCTTGATGTCGCACCAGCACGGCACCAGATTTGTCCAATAACCTGACTCGAGAAAGAATGATACAAGTTAGAGACGGGCGTAAGTTTAAGATGAAACGGGCACAATTACCACGTCAGTTGGCCACTTGACATTTTGAATCATTGTTGCATTCAATATTAGAGAACACGAAACAGCACTTGCAAAGGAATGCACACACGTTAGCAAGAGCTAATATTATATTGGTTACAGTGGATATCAAATTTTATCTCTTGACTATCACCACTCGTAAATGTCGGCTAACCGTTCTGAGCAGTGCAATTGCACAAGAATTTACAAGATTTGTGAGATCCGACGATGTTCACTTAATGCACGAGCCAAGCACAGAATAGACATCGGACGGCATCTGCAAGTAAGTTTGGCTTCCGGGATTATGACTGCAAAGACAGCAGTTAAGACTCACCACATCTGAATCCCACTTTCATGCAGTAAGCTGATAATTCTGAATCCCATCCTTTTGCATTTCTGAGTCCAATCCAGGAAATTGTCCGATGTCGTGACCTTCTAGTTGTTGAAACTCATGGTGTAACCCAACAGCAAACTCCTCGGGCCGAGCTCCACTGCCTTGAAAGTAGTCAGCAATCTGCATCTCAAAGTATAGCAATTACCTTTATTGCACACGATATTAAAATTTCATTTCTATTGGAAGACAAAACAAATCCAATAGACTAGCAAAATAGAGAAAATTCTCTTTACAGCACACAGTTAAATAAATGTATATTGGAACTGGAAATCTAGAATCCAATGATAGAAAATCCCAGTTAAGTCAAAAGGTAAAAGCAGGACACTAAAACACATACATGATTAGCAAGAGCAATGCCGCTTAGAGCTGCTGACTCTAGGCTAGAACCCAGTAGCCAATCACCGCATATCCCAGCTCTTCCACGAGGGTCAAAGATGCAAGGGATCCCGGGGCTGTTCGTAGGTAGTGCAGCACCCCTGTACCAAATTATCTATGCTATTAAAATCATCATCAATATAAGTAGAAGCTTCAAAGAAAGGAGATTTAGGCTAGCCTGTATATCTGATTATCTTGCTTACAAAGCAATCTGTAGCGCGTGAGTTTCTCGAAAGTTAGAAACCATGTCATGATCCTGCCAGGTTTTCATTTTGATGGATCAATCATGGAACTTCTACAATTGATGGAACAGCCCGATAGTTTGGAGTGAGAAACTATCTCCATCTCTAGAGAAGTGATAGGCACAACTGATAATGATATAGGTCCAATGGTGTTAATGTCGGAAATCCAGGTTGTTCAAAAGACGGGACTCCATGTAATTTAACCACATATACAGGTCACACTGTCGTTTTGCCTTCGTATTGATCTTCGTTCGACGTTATAGCGAATGGAAGTTGAAACAGCAAGTAATTTACTCACCAGAGCTGGACGCGGGTATAAATTGGTCTAGGAAGCGATCCTTCTGGCAGTCCAAGAGCAATTTCAACACCGGCAAGCATACCCGCTTTCACCTTCTCAACTGTGGCAGCCGGGATATTTTCCTATGCGATACACAAGTTTTGCATTGAGTCAAACATGCATCCTTAATAGATGAAGAGGTGCGGTTTAATATCAAGCCCACATTAATTTTTTCAGGCAGAATGTTTTGTAGCAATTCAATAACTCCGAGTCAATTGACAAGCATTTCTGGCACTGGCATCCCAATCATTTTCTATGGTATGGATTAGTGGCCGGTATATTCCCTATGGAACAAGCACGGCCAACAGTTACTTGGACCAGCAGCAAGCGAAATATAAAGTGGCACAGCTTGACTATTTAAGACATGATAATTTCCCTCCTACTCAGATATACAAGTCATAACCAACCTGCGGGACCTTGTTTCGTTTCCCATAAGCTGATGTGCTGAAAAAGGTCCAACAGTGCGGGCCATTATCCAGAGACTTCAGAAGTTTTCTCGAATTATTGGCCATCCATGAGATTGAGTCAACACCTTTCACAAAAGCCCCTTCAAAAGGTGCAGTCACTGTGTTACTTGGAATAGGAAGTGGATCCTCAAATGCTGCAAGGAGAGCCCATATAGAACTAAGTTCTAGTCTCTGCATTAAAAGAAGGCAACATGAAGCAGTAACTCAATTGAACAGCAATTTCATTAAGCATAAGAGCTCAAGAACGTATATTTCATAGCATGATTTGACTCAAGTACCTTCATTTGCCTAGCAATTAACGGCAACCCTGAGGAAGCAAGTAGGCGATTTGCACATTTGCCTGTTTATCAGAGAATTTATCACCATAAGCAAGAGAAAGTACTCCATTCCTTCCAAACACTTCAATTAAAACTCTATAACATGCACATGAGCAGTTTCGAGTGTATAGAATATACAATCTCATAATGTGTAGAGTCAGATGTATCTTCTTCTACACAATTTGGTGAACCCGAGAGATAATGGCCATTAGAGAGGAGCACAAAAAAGTAAAACTATGAATCATCATTTCACAGAATAGAGATAGCCATACCAGTACATAACATAACATAAAGTCAACAATAAGCACGGACACAATCATATACCAGTCCTCAAGATGGGGATAATGAATAACATTGATTCACATACTAAACGGGAATAATTGCTGACCAAGTAAAGCAAGTGCACATTATATTTTAGCTGGATCCTGAAAATCAACTCAGAAATGGCACTAACTAATCCATAAGAAATTGGCTATTTAATGAGATACTGAAGCTTACCGTTATGTGCTATAACAATAGCATCAAACTGCCCACAATGCTTTCCATTCTCACTCAAATGCCACATTCCATTAAATGGCTCCAGTTTACTTATCCAGCAAGGTCTCACCACATTTACCATAGATGTCTGCATAAAGTTTCAAACTTTGGCTGGTTAGCACCAGAAAACTCACAGGGAAAGGAAAAGGCCAAAAATATGTCCAGTACAGTTCATGCCAAATTCATAAGAAAACGAATTATCTCTTCCACAAAATATTATCCAGTGAGACTGCAGGGTTGAATGTCCTGTAAGTGCTCGGCAGATCATGAGAACTCATTTCTCAAATATCTTAGCAAAACCACTCTCGAAAAGTCACCAGAGCATTGTTAACTACCAAAATAATATAACAACGTGCAAAGCTTAATTGAAGCACGGTCAAGGTCAAGTTCAATTAACTTCGACAAATAGCTCTCAGACTTTGCTTAGATTGCACCTTGACATCTTAGTGGACAATAAAGCATCATGATGTTCTTAATACGATGAGATTTTTAACAATGCATCAACAACAGCGGAAGAGGAAAGAGAACACAAGCATATGTGTAATGTCACATGAGTTACCTCTGACAACAATGAGTCAGCTAGAGGCCGCATTCCATTCACACCGATATATCTTGGTGGAGAAGAAGGAAGAGGAACAAACTGACCACCAGCTTCAAGCTCTCCAACTGCACCCTGCCACTCTCCGACCAGGCCTTTTTCCCGCCAATCATTAACAATCTCCACAAAACGAGCATCGCTCACTGTAAAAAACTGTGCTGCATGGTCGAATATCAGCTGCTGAGGTTCTATCACTCTTGTTCCCATTCTTCCTCCCAGACCATGAATTCCCTAGAGCAACAACATTACAATAAACCTCTGAACAATGTATCCTACCGCAAATTGTCATCCATGGTTACATCCTTCTAAGACAAACGTGTTTTCTTAAGCAGGGTCAAGCGTTTGAAACTTAAATTTCAGTGTTGAGTTGCAAGAGTAAAATGATATATAGCACAGGAACTTCAGGCAACACAAAAGTTTGGAACTTTACCTTGTCCCTGCATAAGATTCAGACGAAACTCCAAGGAGTAAGGAAAAAACTAACCAACCGTGTCGAAAACCGTGGACTTGATCCCTCTCTTCTCCAAATTCAGGGCACAAATCAAGCCAGACATGCCTCCACCTATGATTCCGACAATGGGGTCATCGGGTATTGGAGCAGTGAAATCCACCTGCTCTTGGTTGAAAGTTTTCTTGAGGATGGACCTCCTGGACGTCCCGTAAGACGACTTTCTGCGGTTCTTGGAGGTGGGTCTGCCGTCATTCACGGAATGCTTCTTGAAACTCGAACCGGGTCTTTTCTGGGAAGTGCAGAGTATGAAGAAGGGCTTGGAAGGGAGGGAGTGGCTTGTGGGTTTGGTGAGCTTGAGGGGTTGGAGGAGGAATGGAGTGGAGACGATGGACGGGAAGAGTGTAGTGGTCATGGCTCTTGGAAAGCAAAAGTGGACCGAGCTGATGCTTATCTCTCCCAAAGTTCTCTGCCTTTCTCGGATGCTGGTTTTTGCAGGCTGAACTGCGGGAAGAGGAAGAACCGGTCCCTTTTTCCCGAATGCCCCTTTGCCCTTTAAACTTAGTTTTTTGGACAAATGACACAAATAATCCTTCAACTTTATCCTCGTACTAAATATGATCTCTGAACTTTTAATTTATTCAATATGATCACTAAACTTTTAATTTGTTCAATATCATCTCTAAACTTTTAGTACATATTCAATGTAGTCCCTGAACTACATGAAATTGTTCAATATAGTCTTACATTGAACATTAAGCCAAAGTTCAGGAACTATATTGAATAAATTAAAAGTTGAAGGATCACATTGCATATTATGTCAAAGTTTATGGACTATTTGTGTCATTATCCCTAATTTTTAGCATGTTTAAGCATCAAATGAGACCAAAACTGGTTATTTGATCCACTTTCAAAGATTTCACTGCCCTTCGAGAGGCATTTGTCTTGCAGATGATTTTATATACCCTCCCTTCTTCTTACCTTCTTTTTGGAATACCATTCTTCGCGACCAATCTAGTCGAGGTTGCATTGACGGCCATCGATACTTTCTTGTACTTTTTACCAAGTTCTAACTTAAACCGTTCGATAGATTTTAAACAATATCTCACACAAATAACACAAATTTCGAGTAGATAGAGATTGGTGGATGCCTTTGTCGATCACCATTGCAGTTATTGTGTTCATCGTCGCAGTCATCAATGCTGCACAAAGAGAGAGCATCGATGTCGGGCGACACCGCCCTGGTGGGTCTCTAACGAGCGGAAAGCGAGAGCAAGATGGCGCTATCGCTTGCTTCTTAGGAAGAAAAAGGAAATTCTTTTGGTTCTAGCAGACTTCGATGTCTGTGCTTCTACAAGGTTCTACCGGAGCTTTCCTTTCACCTTAGAGGAGAGCATTTACAGGGCATTTCATAACAAGCAACTCTGTTCATATCGTGAGTCACAAAAGAAGCTTCATTCTCTTCCCTTGACATTCCAAGCACAACAACACGTAACAATTAAGTCTCATCAAAAGGAAAGGACAAGATATATAATTTCTATAACTACACACAGAGTCAAATTCTTTTTCCCCAGAGACTCCAGAGACACTAGTACTAGTACAGTTCATCATGGAAGGCACAAACTCTCCGAATATGTAACGATATAGCAAGCTCCTTTTTCCTCGACAGACATCGATGCGACAAAGTTAAATAAACATATACAATTCACCACAACAAATAAGCTGTCTTCAGATGACAAGAAAACAGGCTATTTTCCTTGCGAAAGCCCTAAACAGCACCGAGACACTCAAAGAGCAGTCCGCTTCACTTTCCCAACTGAAGTTAGATGTAAGAGAGAAAAAACGCTTCGCTCACGATTGGACCACGGCATCGGTAATTGTTTGCTCCGGGATATTACAAGGAGCTGAAGTTGTGTTCGCCGTCTCTTCTTCATGTGGCTGCTCTCTGACTTTAGCCGCTGTGTTACCATATCGAATCCCCACTTGATTCTTAGTTTTTGGAGTTTTGGGACTGTTGACAGAGCTGGGTTCTTGTTTGCAGATGCCGATGCTGTGGCGGAGTGCCCGGGCACAGACTTTGCCCTTTTCCTCTTGGGCAGAGTTGACTGCATCGCTGCAGCTCTTTCTTCGGCCCAAATTTGGCGACTTTGGCCGAGTGAGTGGCAGCTGTAACACGTATAACCATCCTTTTCATTAGAACTGGCACAAGAAAAGCTCAAATAGAAGTCAAAGAACGAATTTAAATAACAGGACCCAGCTCAAGTCGAAGTCCAGAACAGAGAAAGTCATTGGATAATGACTCAAACTAGACAATGAAGAAGTAATGAGACACAAACAGTACATGACCTAATTGGGTTTTCATTAGTAAATGAAAACAGTCCCGTGGTACTCTAAGAGTATTCAAGCTATTTTCCTGAACAGGCTTCTTACCCTACTTTTGTATAATCAACTAACAAGCACATGTGTATGTGAGAGAGAGAGAGAGAGAGAGAGATCCAAACTATTTCATATCTGGCTAGGCTCAAATATCAGAAGTCCTGTTACACACCTGTAAAATACATAGACGTAGAACAAGTAATAGAAACAGGAATATCTGGTGAACATCCCCAACAGTCTATGCCTACCAGAATCACTACTTTTGACATAACAGTTCTCCCATACTAACTAGAATAAGTATCCATCAATATTACCTTCTTAAGCTCAGTTTTTGGAGGAGGCGCTTCATAATAGAAGCTTGGCACTGGTTTCGCTCTAACAACCATGCTCTTCCTGAGCTGCTTGATAGCAGCCTCTTGCTCTTCCTGAAAAATCCATCATACAAAGGACAAATCAGATTAGTTAATCAACCATTTCTTAAAAAGTTCAAATTGAAGTTAATTGTTGGAACGAAGAGGAAATGAGCAAAGTCAGAACATAAGCACAAGCAAAAACAAGAAGTACAGAAAAAGAACATACCTTGTTCCTTGCTTCACATTGACTTTTCTGTGCCTCCAGAGCCTGGTGTTTTTCCTCCAATTTCATGTAAAACTAAATGGAGAAACATGCAATGATTAGGTGAAAAGAAAATGGACGTGGCAGTAGATGCCAATGAAAGGGCAATTACAGGTGCCGTCAAACTTACCTCCTTCCTTCTCTCAGCACGTTCACTGGACTTAAATGACGGAGCTGAACCAACAGTTATCTTGGCTTTGACTGATTTTACTGTTCGCACAGATGCAGCAGCTCTAAGCAAAGTTAAGGACAACAGAGTTGATACTAATATAATAAGTATGAGCCATTCCTTTTATTGGGCGATCAGTATACTATTCATAAAGGATACGAGGAAGCGACAGACCAATTGTCGTCGTCATCTTGATGCTTCTTATTACTAGATTGCAGTGGCTTCCTTGAAATTGGAGGTGTGCTTGGCTGGATGACCCAAAGAAGAAGGAATAATCATTAGATCAAATAGTTCTAAGAAAATTCAGGATTTGTCGACTAAAGCATATATCCGTGCTTGGAAGGAAAGCGACGATGCTAACTAAGTGGATAGAATGGTGCCAAACTAAGAAAACTTTTAGTGCTCGATCAACACACACACAATCTCTTCATTCCAGAACATGAACAACATAAACTATCATCTATCAGGAATACAAGGTTAAAAAGAGTTCTTTCCACTGGTATTTCCTCCATATTATCTACTTGGAGTATGGAGGGTGTCTCGGAACTTTTGTATAGCTCAGACCGTTGTTCTTTACGCCTACCTTTAACATAAAAGACTGCCTTACTGCCGGCAAACCAGAAGTTAGCTTCTACAGAGCAGAGATGAAAAGCGAATAACATCGCACAAGAATTACCTGTGGACTTCTGAAAGGGGAATTCATATTATTAGCATTCGGTGAGTACACACTAACAGGAGATTCAGCTCCAAAATGTCGTGTTACACAGGTATTCCGCTTCTCAGTAGCCAGAGTGAACGGTTGGGGAACAGTATGATTTATGCGCCCGTTGGCACCGGATTTCGACACGGGAGAATTCGACTTTTTATTGCTGCTCATCTTCTGATCCTCTAGCCTCTCATTCTTTTCATCGGCCACGCCATCGTTAAAGTTCGTGCTCTTAACACCCAGCACCTCTTGCTTCTCTTGACATTCTTCGAGCGCCGAACTTTCTATTGTGCACTCCTTCACCTCATACTCCTTGACAGCGCTGTATTCTGCGATTCTGGGGGCAACATGGACTTTCTCGAAAGAAGCGCCATTTGCGATCATGGCAAGGCCATTAACCTTCTTGTCCAACTCCACATCTTTGAGTTCCCTCCCCATGGTACTGCGTGGTAAAATTAGAAGCAGCAGACAAGAAAGTTAAGAAAAGGAAAGGCGACATAGCAACCGGCACAAGGTAAAGGAATTCATTTGATCTACTTATATGCATCAGACTTAAATTACACACGATGTCTCCCAGAACAACCCAGAAATAAAGAAACAGCAAAGGGCAAAGAAAGAAATCAACCCAGAAGAACAGCTTTGTCTACCATGCTCTATAACAAGCTACACCCCAGGTATTTAAACCGTTCTTGATCGTGCTTACCTAGTTCCTTCCACAAGCAAAGCTAATCCTTCCATAAGAGAAGCTAACCCTGAACACCTTTCCTCCCTTCACAAGTTACGGTCAAAGCTCACCAAGACAAACCCAAAAAGAAGAAAACCTTATATTTTTCACTCAGATAGCTCTCTCGAACCATGGATCACTGCAAATCTAACGTTGGAAAGGTGGTGATGAAGCTCCCGAAGGGCCAAACAATATTTTGCAAAGCACGCAAACAAAAAGGAAACAACGCGAGCACGAGGGCAGACAAACCCAGAGAGACGTGCTAATTGCCTATTCTACTTAAATGGCCGAAAGTCATTTTCACACCACAAAGCTAGTTCAAAAAGCAGGGCGTTGAAAATTCCTCTCCCAACGTTGACTGTGCCTCGACCTTAACCAGACAGAAGAAGCTAGTTAGCACCCACCCCCCACCACCACAAAAACTCTTAAAGCATGTGCATACATCACCTGGTAATTCCGTGTTTAACTCAAGCAACAAAGCTAAAAAGGCAACAGCACAGCGGTTGTTCCTAAGCAGCATCAAGAACCAAAATTTTGGGACCAGAAAAAGATGTTCGGAAACAGGGACAGATTTTTGGAAAACAGGGGAGAACTAGAAATGCTGGGCTATTAATAAAGACACAAAAGATTAGCTTTTTCAGCGTTTTATCTGCTCGAAAGCGCAGAAGATGCGCCAAACAAGCTGAAAATTAGGCCCAAAAAAAAAAATTCTTGCTTCCTGGAAAAACCTAATGCACGTGAAATCAGCAGGACCCGAGAGGGAAATGGAAAGAAATGAACCCAAATTTGAGCATTGGAGGATCTAACCGGAAGAAACCCCAGTTGGCCAGATAGAGAAAGAACACCAAGAAAATCCCATTTTCACAGCACATATCACATGCATTAACTAAAGACAAACCCAAATAGAAAAACACCAGCAAGATAACAAAGCAGAGAAACCCAA